TCCTCCACCAGCGCAGCAGCCTAAGAATGAGAACAGGGGCCAGTGTTGGGGCAGCAAACTGTAAGGTGCTTCTTCCGGCTCTCAGGGCCAGCGAGCGCCGTCACCTACACAGAAACCCCAAACTCACCGCTTCCCGCACACCAGGCGCTTCATAACCTTGGTCAAAATACGGCAGAGCGTCCACCACAACCTCTCCAGCCACCAAACCCGTGCCCGCCATTCTTAAGTTAGCCCGTTCTCCGCTCTGCGCAGGCTCAGGCCCATTTCATTACGCCGGCGCCCGCCGCCCACGATTTACGTCGCGTGCGGATCGGCTTTGACGCATGCTCAGTTGTTAATTGTGAAGGCGCGCTCGTCCTTTCTGTTTAGGGCGGAGGTGACGCTACGTCTTGGTTTCCCAGTCGGTGGAACGTCTCAATTTTCAGTCCCCGCCTGCCCTACTTTTTTGCTGCCGACAGCAGTTTGTGGAAGAATGGGACTTTTGGTTTTCTCTAGGACGCTGGTATCTGTTGGGCAATCCTTTAAAACTGTTGTGGAGAACTGGCTGCAGGATTTGGCGGGAGAGAGACAAACTGGCTTCCCACCTGCTTACTCCTGTAGCCCCCCTCCTCCCCTCAGACTTCTCTCCCCTTACTCTTCCATGCTGTACCACCCCCCACGCCACCCCGCCGCGGCTCGTGCCGGCGCCCCAAGGCTCTGTGTATTGGGTAGTGCGGTTTTTTCAGATTCTAGAAGTGGGCGCCAGTCTTCAGTTAAAGTTGCGGAGCTTTATGGTCAGCCTAACACAAGGAACCTGAGCTACACCAGGGCGAGACTGATAACTGCGCACCAACCCCAGCTTTTAAAAGCCCTGTCACATTGCCTTCGGAGCATTTATGAAATCCAATCATTTTGTTGTTAGGACACTGGGAATAGAATATACCACGCCCCACTTGCGATCTAAACCCAGGTTTTGTCTGCCAAGAGCCTGGAAATGTTGGCCACAGTAATTAAGCCTGGTTAGTCTAGGATCACTTCGGATTATCTTTTATTTATTTATTATATTTTTTTCATTCCTCATCCGAGGATATTTTTCTATTTATCATTAGATAGAGTGGGAGGGAAGGAGAGAGACACATGGACTGGTTGCCTCCCCCACAACCGACCGGGGCTGGGAGGAACCGCAACCCATGCCCTTGACCGGAATCGAACCCGGGACTCAATGGTACATGGGCCAATGCTCTAACCACTGAGAAAAACGGGCCAGGGCTTATTTATTTATTTTACTAAATTTATTGGGGTGACATTGGTTAATAAGATTATATAGATTTCAAGTGTAGATTTCTATGATTCATGATATTGCATTGTGTGCCCACCACCCAAAGTCAAATCATCTTCCCTCACCATATGTTTGGTTCCTGTTAGCCTTCACACCTCACCCCCCTTCCTCTGGTAACCTCCATACTGTTGTCTGTGTCTACGGGCTTCAGTTTTATATCTTACATTAATGAAATCATATGGTTCTTAGTGTTGTGGTGCGAGAGAACCGAGAGACCACCAGAGCCAAATTAAAGCCAAATAGAGAGCAAAGCCGGCCAGTGACTGATCCCGAGTTCTTGGAGATCAGCCCTGACTTTCAGCTACAATTTTATTTTATAGAGGGCTTGTTACAAATTTCTGCAACTGGCATTTCTTGGTGGCCTTGGGGGAGAGCAAGCTAGCAAGTGCAGAAGCGGAGGCAATTGGCAATAAGCAGGAGGGAATGGAGGTTGGAGGGAACTGCATCAGCACACATCTATGGTTAGGGGTGTCCTGCTCTTCACTCTATTTTCTAAGTTCTAAAGAATAAATTCGCTTAGAGGAAGCTGGTACTTCCTCAGTTTGCCTCTGAAAGCTCCATAGTTGGCCTTTTGTATTATTTAATCAGGGCGAGGTGATATGAGCAGGCCAGTACACTTAGCTTTTTCTGACTGACTTATTTTGCTGAGCATAATATTCTCAAGGTCCACCCATGCTGTTGCAAATGGCAGTATTTCATCTTTTCTTATGGCTGAGTAGTATTCGTAGTATGTATGTACCATATCCTTTTATCCAATCATCTCTCTGACATTTAGGTAGTTTCCATGTCTTGGCCACCATTAATAGTGCTGCAATGAACATAGATAGGGGTGCATATATTTTTGCAAATATATCTTTACAAGTTTTTCAGATAGATACTCAGAACAGGTCATATGGTAACTCTATTCTTAATTTTTTGAGAAACTGTCATACTGTTTTCCCAGTGGCTTTACCAGTTTACATTCCGGCTAGAGTGAATGAGAGTGCCTTTTTCTCCACAACCTCTCCAACACTTATTACTTGTCCTGTTGATGACAGCCAATCTAACAGGTGTGAGGTGATATCTCCTTGTAATTTTAATTTGCATTTCCCTAATAGCTAATGAAGCTGGGCATCTTTTCATATATCTGTTGGCCATTTGTATGTCTTCTTGGGAGAAGTGTCTGTTCAGATCCTCTGCCCACTTTTTATTTTTTTAAATTTTCTTTATTGTTGTATTACAGGTCCCCCCACCCCCAAATAACACCCTCCTCCCTACTTCCATCACCCTCTGCCTTCACCACACTTTTGTCTGTGACCATTGGTTATACATATATGCATGTAAGTTACTTGGTTTCTTTCTCTCTGCTCTCCCACTCATCTTCCCTCTGAGATTGGTCAGGAAGTTTCCTACTTCCACGTCTGGTCATATTTTGTCAGTTTATTTTGTTCATTATATACCACAAATAAGTGAAATCATGGGATATTTGTTTTTCTCTAACTGGCTTATTTCACTTAGCACAATACTCTCCAGGTTCCTCCATGTCGTCTCAAAGGGTAAGAGATCTTTTTTTACAGCTGCGTAATATTCCATTGGGTATATGTACCAAGCTTTTTTATCTACTCATCTACTAATGGATACTTGGGCTGTTTCCAGGTCTTAGCTATTGTAAATAGTGCAGCTATTAACATAGGGGTGCATATATTCTTTCTATTTGGTGTTTCAGGCTTCTTAGGATATATTCCTAGCAGTGGGATCACTGAGTCAAATGACAGTTCCACTTTTAATTTTGAGGAATCGCCACATTGCTTTCCATAGTGGCTGCCAGTCTGCATTCCCACCATCAGTGTGCTAGAGTCCCCTTTTCTCCACACCCACACCAGCACTTGTTTGATGATTTGTTGATAGCAGCCATTCTGGCAAATGTGAGGTGATAACTCATAGTCATTTTAATTTGCATGTCTTTGATGATTAGTGGCATTGAGCATTTTTTCATGTTTCTTGGCTATTTGTCCTCTTTGAAGAAGTGTCTATTCAGTGCCTCTGTCCATTTTTTAATTGGATTGTTTGGTGTTGAGTTGCATGAGTTCTTCATATATTTTGCATATTAACCCCTCGTTAGAGCTGTTGTTTGCAAATATCATCTCCCATTTCATTGGTTGCCTTATTTTGTTAGCAGTTTCTTTTGCTGTGCAGAAATTTTTAGTTTGATATAGTCCCATTCATTTATTTTTGCCTTTACTTCTATTGCCTTTGCAGTCAAACTAATAAAATCTCTAATACCAAGGTCCATGAGTTTAGTACCTGTGTTTTCTTCTATGTAATTTATTGTTTCAGATCTTATATTTAGGCTTTTTGATCCACTTAGAATTAATTTTTGTACATGGAAACAAACTGTAATCTAGTTTCATTGTTTTACCTTTCCAATTTTCCCAGCACCATTTAATGAAGAGGTTTTCTTTTCTCCATTGTATGTTTTTTGGCTCCTTTGTCAAAAATTACTTGCCCATCCCGGCCGGTGTGGCTCAGTGGTTGAGCATCAACCCATGCACCAAGACGTCGCTGTTTCAATTCCCGGTCAAGGCACATGCCCAGGTTGTGGCCAGATGATCTTCTCCCTCATTGGTGCTTCTCTCTCTCTCTCTCCCCCTCCTCCTTCCTCTCTTTCTAAAATAAATAAATAAATAAAAATTTATATGCTCAGCCAGGCCAGTGTGGCTCAGTTAGTTGAACATCATTCCATGCACCAAGAGGTCACTGGTTTGATTCCTGATCAGAGCACATGCCTGGGTTGGGGGAGCAATCCCCAGTAGGGGGCACAGAAGGTAGCCAATGGATGTTTCTCTCTCTCTCTCCCTAAAATTAATAAAAACACTAAAAAATTATTTGCCCATATACATATGGTTTTATTTCTGGGCTCTCAATTCTGTTCCATTGATCTGTGTGTGTGTTTTTCTGCCAATACCATGCTCTTTTGATGATTGTTGCTCTGTAGTATAATTGAAGTCAGGAAGTATACCTCTGGCTTCATTATTTTTTCTCAGGATTGCTTTGGCCACTTGAGATCTTTTGTGGTTCCACACAAATTTGATATATTGTTCTATTTCTTTTAAAAAAAAATGGCATTGGGATTTTAATGGGGATTGCATTAAATCTATATATTGCTTTGGGTAATAATGGACATTTTAATTATGTTGATTCTTCCAATCCATGAACATGGAATTATTTTTCCATTTCATTGTGTCCTTTTCAATCTCTTTTAATAATGCTTTGTAGTTTGCAGTATATGGGTCCTGCATATCCTTTGTTAAGTTTATTCCTGGGTATTTTATTCTTTTTGTTCCAATTACAAAACAAATTGTTTACATTTTTTTCCCCTGAAATTCCATTGTTAGTATATAGGAATACAGTGGATTTTTGCACATTGATTTTGTATCCTGAAATCTTACTTTATTTGTTTATTGTTTCTAATAGTTTTTTAGTAGAGTCTTTAGTGTTTTCTATATATAGAGTCATGTTATCTGAAAAAGTGATACCGGCCTATCTTTTAACCTATTAGATAAATGTGCTAGGTATAGATTTAAGTGAAGTAAAAGATCTTTACATTTTAAGCAATTTTATTTAAAATTCTCCAAGAGACCCATGAAATTTTTATATTTAACATTTTATACAAATCTTTAACAATTCTTTTATAAACGTCCAGAATTCATAAAACTTTACAAAAACAAAATGAAACAGACCTAAGAAAGGAAGCAGCTCCAGATCACAGGGATAAAATACACCCCCCTCCCTGAAGCAAAGGTCTCCTCACAGAGGGATGGCCAGGATCCACCACAGTAATACCTCCTACCCCCATTTTATAAACAATCCCCAGTTACTAATTGTTCCCTCAGGCTGGATTGTCAGAAGAGACCAAACGGGGAGACGTATGATATAAGCCCCACTGGGGTAAGCTGCTTACTAAGCATTTAAAAAAGACATAGGCTCAGTTCTATCTTCTGGACCCACATCTGTAGGAATTATATAGCACCGCTGTTACATGGGGTCTGCTTCAGATTCATCCATGCACAGTAAAATGGATGTAATGACAATACTATACAAGTCAATAAATTGTATCCTCATGTAGCTTGTAAGGTTTTGTTAAGTTTGAATAAATATGTTTTATGCCAGTTAAAACCATCAGCAGGAATTGAAGAAAACTGACATTTGCTATAACATCAAAGAAAATTACACCATCACTGACCAATTCCTCTTTCCAGTCACTAGTGCTACTTTAGATATTAAAGGTTGGGGTGATTATGTGGTGGTGTTCCAGGAAATATTCATATTTTTTACTCCAATTTAATTACAGCAAAAAGTCTAACAGTTCTAGGGCATCCAAAAAGAGTCTCATCTAGACATCTATAGTTTGAAGTCCCTTATCCTCAGAGCTCAATTGGCTCTGGTACACTTCAACTAAAAAGAAAACTTTTTCAATAGCTACAATCCCACAGAGCTCAAATTTCCATCTGCAGGACTAACCAACTTTCTCTGTGTTCACAAACCAACAGTTTGGCTTTGGTCCAGGCTCTATTGTATAATTGGGCAAGTTATTTAACTTCTTTAAATTCCACTTTCTTCACTAGTAAAATGGAAATACAAATATCTCAGAAAGTTGATTTAAAGACTGAATAAGATGACATACATATGTGTACCACAGTGCATGGCACATGGTAGCCACTAGGAAAAAAAAAAAGTAGTTCTCATGCCCTTGGAAGGACTTTTCCTACCAATTATAATTCCAAAAGGTTTAATGTTGACTTACGAAGGACAAGCTATTCAAGTGCCACACAATGTGGGAGGAGCTTTTACAAGATGTTCAATAACAAAACTAATAAATAGGGCTTCCACATAAGTGAAATTCCCCTAGACAGAACATTAGACAAAAAACAGGGGAAAGAGATATGATAAGTATATCCCTTAGCTCAATTCAAACAGCTCATAGGTTTAAAGCTGCCATGGTGTTTCAGTGATGAGAATTATGTGTGTAGGGCTAGTGTTTGCCACTTCTATCATGCCTCCCTAGTACCTTAAACTCAGCATGTCTCTCACTGTGCTCCTCTTTGAGCTGTTTTAAAAAAGACACCACCAAGTTTTGCCCTTATAAAAGACAAGTGCCTTCATAGCCTAAGCACAAAACACAAAGAATGAGCCCAAGAATCAAATAGAAAAGGCCACTTAAAAACAACCAGAGGCAGAGTAAAGAGAGCATTGGTTCCAGATAACTACCATAATTCTCCAGTGATTACTAAAGAAGCAACAGGAGAATCCTCCTCCAAGACCCTGGCCCACTCTGTAACCTTTTCAACTTTCAAGGATTTTGTAGAATACTTCAGGGCATCCCGGCTCTTGGGCAAAATATTTGCTTTGGCACTTTCTATCTTATTTAGGATGAGACAGTCAATCGAAGATTTCATTTCTTCTGCAGAAATTTCATTTTACTTCCTAAAGGGAGAAAAAAGTAGAGCGAACTTTCATTAGTTCATTTTTATTTATTGTACATTATTTGAGGCAAGGGATTAACCAGCTAGTTATTCAGAACAGCCCAGGAGTAAACTGCTATCTCAAGCTATCCGTTGATGTAATTACCTGTCCCTCTCCCCAAGTGTCTAATTGCAGAGGTAGAAGAGAGCTCAGACATCATCTAATCCAGTGGTTTTCAACCCTGCCTGTAGGTTAAAATCAGCTGGCCTGCTCCCCAGAGATTATAATATTTACTCAGAGCTGAGAACCACTGATCTAATCTAACCCATGGTATATAAGATGAAATAACAGCCATGGCTGGTTTGGCTCAGCGGTTAGAGCATTGGCCCAAGATCGAAAGGCCCAGGTTCGGTTCCCACTAAGGGCACGTACCTTGGTTGCAATTTGTCCTCGGCCCCAGTTGGGGTTGTGTGGGTGGCAACCACCTGATGTGTCTCTCTCACGTTGATGTTTCTCTCTCCTTCTCCCTCCTCCCTTCTATCTAGAAATCAATGGAAAAATATCCTCAGGTGGAAATTAACAACAACAACAAAAAAGGATAGGGCTTAATTTTAATTAAAGGTATATATTTCAAAGACCAATGTAAATACCATACACTGTAGGTTCTTCATTGTTTTGGGCTACCACACCACAGTTCTATATCATGCTGAATAATTAAAAGTGAAGTATAACTGAACAATCATAACCATGTTCCTTTATGAAGTGTGAAATTAGACACTTGCAGGAAACCCTCTTTGTTTCAGATGCCCTTTAAACCCTTTAAGCCAGATGTTTTTAAACTGGAGTGCATGGATGGACTTCAGGGCATCCATAAACACCCTAAAATTATATCCAAAATATTTGTATCCTTTAAGTATATTTTTCTGGGAAAAAAGTCCACAGTTTTTTTTTTGTTTGTTTTTTTGTTTTTGTTTTTTTTCCCTCACCCGAGGACATTTTTCCACCTTTTGTACAGATAGAGTGGGAGAGAGAGAGAGGAAGAGAGAGAGAGAGGGAAACATCGATGTGAAAGGGACACATCGAGTGGTTGCCACCCGCATGACCAACCAGGGCCGGGGACAAACTGCAACCGAGGTACGTGCCCTTAGCAGGAACCGAACCCGGGTCTCTCCGGACCGCAGGTGGACGCTCTAACTGCTGAGCCAAACCGGCCAGGGCAAAAGTCCACAGTTTTTATAAGATTTCCCCCAGGGATGTGACCTAGAAAAGAGTAATAATCACGATATACAAATTCTTACATCATAAGTGAGCTTCATCTCAGGAAAACGGCCCCATGGACAACTCTGATAGAAAATCCCAACCTCGCCCTGGCCGGTTTGGCTCAGCGGTTAGAGCGTCGGCCTGTGGTCCTGAGAGACCCGGGTTCGGTTCCCGCTAAGGGCGCGTGCCTCGGTTGCAGTTTGTCCCCGGCCCTGGTCGGTTGTGTGGGTGGCAGCCACTCGATGTGCTCCTTTCACATCGATGTTTCTCTCTCTCTCTCTCTGTTCCTATCTCTCCCTCCCACCTACTTGAACAAAAAATGGAAAAATGTCCTCGGGTGAAGATAAAAAAAAAAAAAAAGGAAAAAAAAAAAAAAAAAAAAGAAAATCCCAACCTCCAAGAAAGAGACTTTCTTTTCTCCAAAACACTTTGAATTAGGGGTCATGGTTTCTGGTCAGCCTACCTGAGGTTATATTATTTGATCTGATTATAAAGCATTTGCAATGAGGCACGCTAACTGCTTTTTTCAGCCCCGTTTTTCTTTTTATCCTCACCTGAGGACATTTTTGCATTTATCTTCAGACAAAGCGGGAGGGAGAGAGGGGGCAGAGAGAGAGAGAAACATCGATGTGAGAGAGACACATTGATTGGTTGCCACCCACACGGCCCCAATCGGGGCTGGGGACGAACTGCAACTGAGGTATGTGGCCTTGGTGGAAATCGAACCCAGGACTTTCTGGTTTGCGGGCCGATGCTCTAACCGCTGAGCCAAACTGGCCAGGGCAAGCCATGTTTTTCTAATAGAAAGATACAACAACTCACCAAGACTCCGCAAAATTCTGTTCATCCCACTGGGCTCAGACTCGGGAATTGTTTCCAAATACTGGAAGGCCCGGACCTCAAACAAACCTACAAGGAAAATTCATGTTGGTGAAATTGTCCAACACTTAAGACTGAAAATCAATTAACTAAAGCTCTGTGCTCACTACTATGTACCTTCATAGTTAAAATAATATTACAAAAAAAAAATTTCCCATAATAAACAACTCAGATTTTAAGTCCTTGTAGCTTTATGCTATTTTTGTTTATATTATTTTCAAACTTTCCAAGTGCTCACTAGATACAGAGGGAGAACTTTCTGAGGAAACTGACCTTTTACCCCACTTTTCCGAAGCTCTCGGTCCTGGATGAATCCTGCAAACATCTGAGTTTCCATGAAGAGATCCAGGAAGTGGCGAACACTTCGGGAGGTGTGAGATTTACGGAATGGCTCCCTTTGGAATACACGCTCCCCACGCTCGGTGACAGTCATGTTCAGAGAATAATGTCCCACTAACTCCACGAAAAACCTGACAAATGCTTCGGACACCAAAGAGTTGAGTGTCACATCTGATGCAAAATGAAAGGGAAAAGGGAGTCTTCTAAGTTTTGTGTTTAAGGGAAAACTGGCTCTAGTTATGAAAGTGATGCCTAGGAAATCATAGATTAAAGGAAGTAGAGAACACATAGGAATACTCATTCTTAGCTTTCTTGCATTCTACATGACCTGCAAAAAGCAAAATGGCCTACATTTTTACCTTCAATTCCGTCCCCCACACACTCCTGTTACATGTTTGATATGCAAAGCCTGGCTTGCACGTCTATGATTTCACTGGAACTGCTCTAAGGCCACCAGTGAGAACCAGACAAATTTCATCGGCTTTTCTATTTTTAGACTCCTTTAAACTCTATGCTGCATTTCTGCTAACCTCCTCCTCATTCCTCTCACAATTATATGCTCTCCTGATTTCCTGATTCCTCCTTGCCGTATGATCAACATTTTCTCTAGCCTCTTCTTCCCCTTTCTAAGCATGGTCTTCAGACCACTTCTCAATATTCCTTTCCTTAATCAGCTAATTGGCATAGAGATAATACCGCTGGCTTTCCAGGTTGATAATTCCAGACCTTAGATCTCCATCCCTGGTATTTTACCCAAGTTCACCTTCTATATTTGCAGACTACCTGTGGATGACCATCATTTGGTTGTCCCATTAGCACTTAAATACCATTTGTCTAAAAGCCATCATATAAGGTCCTTATGGGAAACTGGTAGAATATGAATCAAATAAACAATTCATGTTCCAAACTATATTCATTATATTTCTCCACCAAATCAGTTTCTCTCTCAACTTTCCCATTTAATATTTCATCATGATTATTCCATAATAAATAATTTATTGAGTGCTTAAAATATGCTAGGCACTATACTATGCTTTTACAAATATAAAATGAGGTAGGTATTATTTCCCTTTTACAGATGAGGAAACTGAGGCTCAAAACAAAGACATTCTCCAGAGTCATCTCATCTCATACAGTGGAGAAGCTGCCCGACTTGACTCCTAAGTCAGGTGATTCTTAACCACTACAATATACTACAATATACTGCCTTCCAGATTCCAGGCTCAAGCCTCAGATTCACCTTCCACTCCTTTTTCTTTCACATCCAAATTGTACCCCCCCCCCCCCCCCCCCCTTTACAATGCCTTTTGCTCTTTCCCATGGGCTCCACCCTGAACTAAGAATCCGAAACCTAGGTTTAGTCAGTCTACCATGAAGCAGCTGTATAAAGGTGGGCAATTCACTTTACTTCTATATCTGTACAACAAAGTGGTGGATAGGGAGATTTCGAAGGTCTTTTCTGGCATTACATTTTAATTCTAATCTAGATTTTTATCTTTAGTTCAACAGACTTCCTTTTCAACTCTTTCCTTGTGCAGCCAAGAATCCATGGCCTCTTCCTGCTTTTATCATCAACACTTTGCCCTGCTCTCCCATCCCATCCAGCTACTACCATTTCTTCTGTTTTGCAGCAAAATTTTTTAGAAGAGTTGTTGTTTATATCTGCTGTACCCACTTTCTTATATCTAATTCCCTTTTTTTTCTTAAAATATGTTTTTCTGTAATCTGTCTTCCATTCTTTGTTTCTGTTTTAACGTATACATTCTGTATAGTTTATATATTCTTTTACACCCATGAATATGTCCTAAGACCAGCAGAGAGATGAACAGGACAGAGCTTAAAACAAGACATCATGTGCATCTCTGAAAATCCCTGTGGGACACTCTCAGTGGTGTTCTTCCCTTACTCTCCAATAGAGGATGACTACCGTTTGGAATTTTGTGTTTATCATTCCCTTGCTTTACATTAGTTTCACCACACACATATGCAATCCCAACAACATACTGTTAGGTTTTATGTGTCTTTGAACATAATATATTATCTTCTTCTGCAACTTACTGTTGTATTCAATATGTGTGGTTTAAAAAAAAATGTATATATGTGTGTGTGTGTGTGTGTGTGTGTGTGTATATATATATATATATATATATATATATAGCTTTTAGAGAGAAAGGAAGGGAGAGAGAGATACAGAAACATTGATGAGAGAGAACATTGATTGGCTGCCTCCTGCATGCCCCCCACTGGGGATCGGGCCCACAACCTGGGCATGCGCCCTGACTGGAAATCGAACCGGCAACATCTTGGTACATGGGTCAACGCTCAACCACTGAGCTACACTGGCCGGGCTCAATATGTATTTTTATGATTCTTTTTTTTTTCCCCCCCAAATAAGAGCTGTTTATTAGCTGACCGGCATCTGATTCCAAACACCCCTGTGACAGAGTCTTCGGAATCAGCCTAAGATTCTTTTTTAATGTTACATTCTCAATGGACAGTTAGATTGTTTTTAGTTTTTGCTATCATATACAATACCACTATGAAAATTATCGTACTTGTTTCCTAGTTACCATGTGCAAAAGTTTCTCTAGGTTATAAGTTTAAAAATCGAATTGTTGGGTTGTGGGACATGCAGTACACCTTTGACTTTATGAGATGATAACAAATTGTTTTTCCAAAGTGGGTGAACTAATTTACACATTCTCATCAACACTTGATATTGTTAGACTTTTTAATTTTTGCCAATATGGTGGGTATAAAATGGCATCTCACTGTGGCTTTAATTTCCATTTCCCTTATTTTGATGAGCTTGTATATCTCCTCAGATATTTATTGGCTTTTCATGATTCCTCTTCTATTCCTTTGTTAGTTATACTTATTGAAAATGTCTTCACCCACTTTGTAGCTTGTTTTTTATTTCTTTTCCACAGTGTCCCTTGATGAATAGAAATTTTAAAAATCTAACATAGTCAAATTAATCAATCTTTTCCTTTATGGTTTGTGCTCTTTGTGCCACATTTAAGAACTCCATTATTGTTCCAAAACATAAAACATTTTCTTCTATTCTTTTCTAAATGTCACAAACAGCAATGGTATTATTGATGAGTAATATTCCATTGTGTATATATACACATCTTCTTTATCCACTCATTGACTGATGGACATGTAGGATGTTTCCATATCTTACTTTTTACTAGTAATGCTACAGGGGTGCATATACCTTTGTGAATTAGTGTTTTTGTTTTCTTCTGATAAATAGCCAGAAGTGGAATTGCTGGATTGTATGGAAGCTTAATAATTTTCTGAGGAATCTCTATATTGGTTTCCATAGTGGCTGCACTAATTTACAGTCCCATAGGACAGACAGTCAGAAAAGCCTCACTGAGAAAGTGACACCTGAGTACGGAAGAAAGAGCAGGAGCTATGTGGCGACCTGGGGGAATAGCATTCTATAATGGGACTGAGCAAATGCCAAAGTCCTAAAATAGAAGGGGACCTGGCATATCTGAGGGTCAGCAGGGAAGCTAATCATACGCTTTTCAAGGCACACGCACAATCCTATACTTTGTATATTCTTCAACGGGGTGCATGCCATTCAATAAATACTTACTGCCTTGACCGTTAGGCCCTCAGACCACCAGTCACATACCTTGTGAAAAATTCTGCTCCTGAGCCAAAATTTCATTTCGTTCTTCCAAAATCTGCATTAGGGCAGCTTGGAGTTTAGGTGGTAAAATGTCATCCTCATCAGATACCTTAAAAGAAGAAATTGAAGTTCTTCATTAGCTTTGAGAGAGAGTGTCTCAAACATGCACTAATTAGGTCCTCAAACTTTCACAAGTGACTTTGTATATAGTTCACTCAAGAGTCAGTCGGAAGCTTTCTTCCCTATGTTGAGAAGAATCCATGATACTTATGGTGTATACATCTTATATTAAACAAATAACACTTATTTTCTGGCACTTTCTATCAAATATCTCTCATCTACAAGTCTTATGCTATGTTAGAAAGATCATCCCCAAACAAATGGTGTTTCCAATGTGATGAGCTAAGTAATTTTGAAAAAAGACAAAGTCTTGGGAAACATTCTTTTAACCCTGTACTCGGTGCTCACAAGCCTATATACAGAGAACTGCTCTAAGAAGCCATTACTAACACTCTCTTCCACTTTAATACCCAGAAGAAATGGCCATTTTCTTTTTTGCCCCTACCATACACCTTGTACAAGTTTCTATTATACCATTTCTAAAACTGTATGTGTATGTCTGTACCCTTTCCCCATCATTAGATTATAAGGCCTAAGAGCACAAACTGTGTCTTACTCATTTAGATTCAGAATATCTGGAAATAATACGTTTTAAATGCTTGCTAAATTTAATTAAATTAGAAGCTTATATGTCAACACATCTGGACTTGAAGGGGAGGGTTGCCTCTTTGAGAATGACATTTAATCTGTTTCCTCCTTCCTTCTTTGGGATACATAGCTAAACCCAAGCCAAAATCTTCAGGTCAATCTTGCATGATCAGGCATAGTGTCAAGTCAAGTATGTGTAGGAACTGAAAGTCTTGCTTGAGTCATCTTCTTTAAGTACTTTCACATATTTTCTGTCTTATTATCCCCAAGTATTATGTAATCACGTCCTTTGTCACTCACCTCCTGTAAGAACTTGTCTGCACAGAGATCAACTATCAGCACCTATGGGATAAAGGAACCGGGCAAGTTAAACCAGAGCCATTCACAAAGAAATGTGTTAGGCACTGCTTGGTCAGAAAGAGTGTTTTGATTCTTTGAAGTAATGGGAACAGTTTTAAACAAAATTAACTTAAAGTTATAACCCATTTAAAAATTAACTCACTAATACACCAACAACCAAATTGCAAGTAAAAAGAACTCTGGCAGGCACACCTATAGATTAAGAGACTAAAAAAACATACCAACCAAATGCAATAAACCTGATTCAAACAAACAGATTTATGAATTGGATATTTGAACCTTAAATTTTGCTGATTAAGAAATTATTACTAAATTTTTAGATGTGATAGTGCTATTGTGATTATGTTAAAAATGCCATTGTTGTAGAGATTTATTTTGTAATATTTAGAGATGAAATTATGTCACAACATGCTTTAAAATATGTGGGAGAGTGGAATAAGTAAGGGTAAAGATTGGCCATAATTTGCTAAGTATTGAACTAGGGTGACTGGATTTGTGTTGTTCTTTTATTTACTTCTATATATGTTCAAAATTATCCATCATCAATTAAAAAAAAAAGTTATTATAAAAATCAGTTGCATTTTTATACATTAATGCAAACTATCTAAAAAATAAATTAATAAAACAATCCAATTTTCAATTGTATAAAAAAGAATAAAATAGCCCAGCCTATGTGGCTCAGCGGTTTAGCATCGACCCATGCACCAGGAGGTCACTAGTTCAATTCCTGGTCAGGGCACATGCCTTGGCTGCCGGCCCAACCCCCCAGTAGGGGGCATGTAGGAGACAGCAGATTGATGTTGATATTTCTCTCTCATCGATGTTTTTCTCTCTCTCTCTAAAATCAATAAAAACATATTTTAAAAAAGAATAAACTACCTAAGTATAAATTTAACCAAGGAGACATTGATGAAAAAAACACACAAATAAATGCAAAGATATTCTGTGCTCAAGGACTGGAAGAATTAATAGTTAAAATATCCATACTATTCAAAGCAATCTATAGGGTCAATGCAATCCCTCTCAAAATTCCAACGGCATTTTTCACAGAAATAAAACAATAATAAAATTTGTATAAAGCTACAAAAGATTCTAAACAGTGAAGTTGAAGGTATTTAACTTCCTGATTTCAAACTGCTTTATGGAGTAATAAAATCAGTATGGTATTGGCATAAAAAAGGACACACAGATCAGTGGAACAGAATAGAGTCCAGGAATAAACTCATACATAGTCAATTAATTTACAACAAAGGAGCCAAGAATATACAAATGGGGAAAAGACAGTCTCTTCAATAAGCGGTGTTGGGAAAATTGAACAGCCATATGCAAAAACAAACAAACAAAAATAACTGCACCTCTATCTTACACTATATACAAAAACCAACTGAAAATGGATTAAAGACTTGAATGTAAGACGTGAAACCATAAAACTCTTAGAAAAAACACTGCAAGCAAGCATCTTGACAATGGTCTTGGCAATTATTTCTTTTAATTTGTCAGTAAAGGCAAGGGCAACAAAAGTAAGCAAATGAGGACTACACTAGACTAAAAAGCTTCTACACAGAAAAGAAATCATCATAACATGAAAAGAAAATCTACAGAGTGGTAAAAATATTTACTAATCAAATATTAGATAAGGGATTAATATCCAAAATATGGAATAAATGCAAAGAACTCAACAGTAAAACAAACAGATAAACAATAACAGATAAACAAAAACAATCCAATTAAAAAACGGGCAGAGAAACTGAATAGAGATTTTTCTAAAGAAGACATAGAAATGGCCAACAGGTGTACAAAAAAATGCTAAACATCAAGGAAATGCAAATCAAACCACAATGAGATATGCACTGTGAGAATGGCTATTATAAAAAATCAGAGATAAATGGTGATGTGGAGAAAAGGGAACCCTTGTGCACAGTTGGTGGGAATGTAAATTGGTGCAACCATATGGAAAGAAGTATGAGGTTCCTCAAAAAGTTATAAATAGAACTAGCATGTGATCCAGCAATTCCACTTTGGGCATATATCCAGAGGAAATGAAATCACTATCTTGAAAGGATATCTGCATTCCCATGTTCACTGCAGCATTATTTACAATAGCCAAGACATAGAAACAACCTACATGTCCACTGACAGATAAATAGATAAATAAGATGCTACACACACACACACACACACACACACACACACACACACAGTGGAATGTTTTTCAGCCATGAAAAGAAAGGAAATCCTGCCATTTGTGACCACATGGATGAACCTTGAGGGCATTATGTTAAGTGAAATAAGCAAGGCAGAGAAAGACAAACAATGTATGATCTCACTTATATGCTGCATCTAAGAAAAACAAACTCATAAATACAAGAACAGATTGGTGCTTACCAGAGATGGGGAGTAGGAGATGGGCAAAATGGGTGAAGTTGGTAAAAAGTACAAACTTCCGCTTATAAAATGAGTAAGTCCTGAGGACAGTTAACAAAACTACTGTATACTTGAAAGTTGCTGAGAGAGTAAATCTTAAAAGTTTTCATCACAAGAAAAGAAATGTGTAACTATGTGAATTGATGAATGCTAACTAAAGATTATTGTGGTACTCTTTTCACAATATATACATATATCAAATCATTATGTTGTACACCTTAAACTAATATAATGTCATAGGTCAATTATATATCAGTAAAACCGGTGTGTAGAAGGGAAGGTTAACCCAGCACAGTAATGGGGAAGCACAGTCCTTTCAATAAATGGAACTAGAAGAGTGAGTATTAAAATGACAAAAAAATGAAACAATACCTACTCCTATCATATACCAAAAAAAAAAAATCAACTCCAAGGATTTTGAGCCAAAAATTAAAGGCACAAGAATGAAACTTCCAAAGCTGCCAGGATATAATGTAGGAGGAATCTCCATGAAGCTAATATAAAGAAAAACTTCCCTGGCCAGTTTGGCTCAGCGGTTGAGCGTCGGCCTGCAGACCAGAGAGTCCCAGTTTCAGTTCCCGCTAGGGGCATGTACCACAAAGAGGAAAAAAAAAAGAAAAGAAAAACTTAAGTAGCACACACACACATGTACACATAAAACTCTAACCCTAAAAGGTTGATAATTATGACCACATTAAAATTAAGAACTTCTGTGCATTAAAAAACACCATTTTGGAGAATGAAAAGGCAAGCCATAAAGGGGTGTTATCTAACATGTAAAAAGGTCTCTTACAAATCAGTGAGGGTGAACAATCTAGCAGAAAGATATACAATACATATCTTTAAATTATTTTTTCTTTTATTGATTTTTGAGAGAGAGGAAGTGAGAGGGAGAGATAGAAACATTGATGAGAGAGAACATCGACTGGCCACCTCCTGCATGCCCCCACTGGCGATCAAGCCCACAACCTGGGCATGTGTCCTGACCAGGAATTGAACTGGCGACCTCTTGGTGCATGGGTCGATGTTCAACCACTGAGCCACACCAGCCAGACTGGACAATGATTTTTTTTTTTTTTTTATCCTCACCGGAGGACACTTTTACATTTTTTGCTCAGGTAGAGTGGGAGGGAGAGAGAGGAACAGAGAGAGGGAGAGAGAAACATTGACGTGAAAGGGACACATCGAGTGGCTGCCACCCGCACGACCAGCCAGGGCCGGGGACAAACTGCAACTGAGGTACGTGCCCTTAGCGGGAACCGAACCCGGGTCTCTCAGGACTGCAGGCCGACGCTCTAACCGCTGAGCCAAACTGGCCAGGGCTGGACAATGATTTTTATACAAGATGATATTTAAATTGCCAAGAAACATAGAAAGATGCTCACCCTCAACAGTAATCAAGGAATGTAAATTAAACCACAATGACAATACCACTACACACCCACCAGAGAAGCTAAATTGCACAAACTGGTGATGACAAGTATTGTTGGTGGGGATGTGGAGCAATAGGAACTCTTATATACGGCTAGAGGGAGTTTAGCTTGGCACAACTATTTTGGAAAACAGTATGACTTTATTTACTAAAGTTGAAGATATGCTTATCCTGTAACCCAGTAACTCCATTTCCAAGTGTATACCCATAGTACTGCATGCACATAGGTACCAAGAGTCATGTACAAGAATAGTTATAGCAACATTATTCGTAATAACTCCAAACTGGAAACAACTCAAATGCCCATCAAGTGTAGGAGAGATAAGAAAATTGTGGTACATTCACACAATGGAATACTACACACAATTAGAGTGATCAAATTACTGTTAAACTCATTAACATGGATGAATCTTATAGACATAATGTTGACCAAAACAAGCCATTCAAATCTATCTACCTATCGATCAATCGATAGACAGATAGATATACTGTGAGTCCATTTAGAGCAAGCTAAAATCCAAGCAAAACTGAACTACAGTCGTCCCTCGCCACTCACGCTTCGACTTTTGCAGCTTCACTCTATCGAGGTTTTTTCAAATACGTACTATACTATATTGGAAAAAAACTGCGATGGAGTGAGCCATGAAAGTGGAAGCACGAAGTGGCGACGGGCAACTGTGTATAAATAAAGAATCCTACTTCACCGAAATTTATTTATCGCGGAACTGATTAACCGCAATAAACGAGGGCCGACTGTATACTGTTAAAGAGGTACATACCTAGGATGTAAAACTATAAAGTAAAACAAGTACATAAACACCCTAAAAGTAAACACTGTGGGTGGTGGGGAAAGGAACAGTGACTAGGAGGCAATAAGGGGACGTCTGGTGCGGGTGGGAGGCTGGCAGTGTTTCCATTGCTGTAATGTTTCCATTCTATTCAGTGTTGGTTAAATAAGCAACATTGTGATAATTCACTGAGCTGTACATTTTGTTCTGGGCACTCATTTATATGTGTATTATATTTAAAACATTTTTTTTAAGTTAAGCACCAGTAGTTTTTATATTTGAATTAAAAAAAAAAGACCTGACCTTCAAAATAGCAAGAATAAGCCCACAGTTCACTATGTAAATAAGCTACATGTGTACCATAGATTCACGTATACTATAGAATTTTTCTCACTTGCATAAAAATATGATAGCATAATGTATTAATCATAATTACATATTAATATTAATTGACAACTCCATCACTCTTAAAGATCACTTGTTTTCACAGTCAGTGCTCAGTCTTTTCCACAGGTATCACTTCTCCCACCTCACCTCTTCAACGGGCAGGTCCTGGAGCTGGGTTAAGGAGCAGGACAGGATTCCAATAAGGAACGGAGTTGGTGAGCACACGATGTCGATCATAGAGGCCGGCAGGACTGGAATGTAGGTATGCTGCCAGGTAAATGGATACAGCGTGGCAACCACAGCATGGCCACATTTTGACAGGGTGCTAGTCAGTGGGGAAAGGAAAGGGCATCACACACAGAGCATCCATGGAGGGCACTTCTGATGTTAGGTTAACAGAATTACAAATTGATGCCAGTTATTGATCACAGATGAACAATTCTGTGATTACTCATTAATTTTCAACATTTCTTTTAAAATTTTAACTTAATTTACTGAAAATATTTAATCTCAATCCAGCTCTTCCTTCTAATTTATATTACTAAAAATTAGTGTGTACATAGAAAAGCAATACCAACTTTTAACAGCTTAAGCAAAACACATTTAGAAAGGTAAATTAATTGCAACACCTAAAACTAACTGCTATAGCTTAGTGCAAATAAGTTTTGGATTATTTACCATTTGGAATTATCCATGTCACTATGGCATTAGGTTATTGATTGATATACTACAGTTTTTTAATATGCCCAAATTTTAAAATAGTCAAAACTTGTAAAACACCAGTAGGAAGTGACATAATTACTTATTTCTTACCTTAGACTGTTAGCAACAAAGATGACCCTTCGCTCCAAAAGGAGAGAGGCACACACCCGGATGAGATGACACACACTCAGGCATTTAAAGAGACATTCAAAGTCCACATGTTCCAATCGGGAATCCAGTGGTCTGCAGAGTTCAATCGACTGAAATGCAAGAATCTGAATCAGGGGTGCAATCCTAATGACAACACTAATGGATCCTGTCATTCTTTCACAGGTTAAATTCAAGAAAAAGGGTCTGCTACAAAGAGTTTGTGAAACTACCTATCTGCCCTAATCTCAAGACCAAACACCTTATTTTTGTAGTTTTGTATACTCTGGTCAAACCCTTTATCTCATCTGATTATAGTATATATAATCTTCATTTATCACAGTTTATCATAATGCCTGAAACTGTCATTACCAAGGAGCTCAAGTGGATATTTCTCCAGTGCTTTGTGAGACTAAAACATTCTGCACAGCCCTGGCCGGTTTGGCTCAGTGGTTAGAGCATTGGCCTGCGGTCCTGAGAGACCCAGGTTCGGTTCCCGCTAAGGGCATGTACCTCGGTTGCAGTTTGTCCCCGGCTCTGGTCAGTCGTGCGGGTGGCAGCCACTCGATGTGTCCCTTCACGTCGATGTTTCTCTCTCTTTCTGTTCCTCTCTCACCCTCCTACTCTACCTGAACAAAAAATGGAAAAATGTCCTCGGGTGAGGATAATAAAAAAATAAATAAATAAATAAATAAATAAAACATTCTGCACAGGTTATGGAGAAGGGAAAACTATGCCCCGAGGATTCTGGAAACTGCCTCCTACGTCAGGCCTGCTTTTTGGCAACTATCAAACCTTTTTGAAATGAGCTAACTTACCTCATCTCCAGCCCCAGGGAGGTAGCTCTTAACTGTGATGGTGCGTCCAGGTGCTGGGAAAGGAGCTTCCATGACACTTCGCATGAACGGGTAAACCAAAGCTGGAGACATTTCTCTTCTCTTCTCCACTTCATCCAAGATCTACACACACAAAATATGTTATTTTATTAGGAACTCAGTTGAAAAACAAAAGAATCCTATTAATGAACTGCCAAACTTGGTGCACAAACTTAAAAATACCACCAACAGATTTTAAGACACATAAGCTTCAGCAACCAATAAAAGTTTGTTAAGGCATGATATTTCTTGGGGGTATCTTCATATTCCCCAAGAAAAGCTATTGAAATAAATCTATTTTGAGAAGAGGAGCTCTTTTTTATTTCACTAAAGTAGGGGCAAAGGTGACATTGACAGTGACATCCTGCAGTTCGGGGTCTGGGAAAGACGAGACAAGATAAGCTTCAGGCTATGTTCTCCTTTAAGCTGGGAGGTTTAGCAAACCAAAATAAGGGTGACTTGGCAACAGCATCTGGATTAGAGATATCTAAGTTTAAGCCTTCAAACCTATGGCTCTAACCTACTAATGTGGAACTCTTTCTAAAGTACTATGCTAAAGTCTATGCCTAGTGACGTCATCAGAAACTAAAATTACTCAGAGCTCAGAAATAACACCACTCTTCATAGAGATCATTCTCTACTCACCTTTGAAAAAAGGTTGAAGCAGCCTAGGCGACTGACCATGCAGTAAACCTCAGGGAGTCGCTTTCCTTTGCCTTCTGGCTAAAAGGAAAAAAACCAACAAAGCAAAACTTAAGCAGCACAAGATTTTACTAATTTGGACTATTAATACTCTCCTAACATTCTTTAATACAGAGTAGAAATCAAGGTTCTCATCCTCAATGAGCCCTGAAAGACGGGAAAATGCTAAAAAATGATAGCATAATTACTCCAGGTTTAGTGGAGGCAGTTACACAAGAAGTAAGTAATTCAGAGTCTTGATTGGCTCACTGTATTCCACCCCTCAAATATACTCAGACTTGATGCGGTCACTACGTCAGTGGTTTCTTTCTCCATTACAAACAAATAAAATAAATGAATCCACACTCTTTTATTTTAAAGTATTCTGTGACTAACCCCAACCTTGCTCTTACTGTTGAAGCTAACATAGCGGAACACACAGACCACTGAGAAGCCCTCCAATTCATCCGGAGACAGTGTTTCTGAAGTTCCTAGTGTGATTCTATTGCTCCTGGACCAACCCTGCCTGTAGCACAAATCTGGATCTTACCAAAAGCTTCTTACAGTAACCAAACCACCGGCTCCCATCTTCACCAGTTAAGACAAAGGAGAACGTTTCACTGAAAAAAACAACAACACAAAAACAGGAACTAATTTGAGATACAAACAACTGTTTATGACGTTCCTCATGGAACAAACAATGAAAAATTAGAGTCTAAGAGCAGTGACTGTAAGAAGAGGCATTAATATCACATTTACTGCAAGTCACACTGCTCCTGAGGGAGAAAGTCCAGGCCTTGAGAATGTCGTCTGGCAGTGGAGTGGGAGACTACACACAGGAAGAGCTGTTGATGCTGTTGCCTCCTTTTACTTACTTATTTATCTAGTCTAGCTATTCATCAAGCCTATTTTCCTTCTGTTGAATGTTCAATTTAGTTAAACATATCAGGAAGCTATAAATGCTTGTGATAATCTATTTTTCCCTTCCAAATTCTTCTATTTAATTCTAAGAGGTCATATGGAAAAGTCATGGGCAAAGGATAGTATCCTTAATATATAAAATTAATGGGTCAGAAAAAGGCAAGTATCACATGCTCTTACTTGTATGTGGAATCTAATGAACAAATTAAACCGATGAACACAATAGATCCAGAACTGGAGCAGACTGACAAACCTCAGCGGGAAGGGGTAGAGAGGTGGGAAGAGATAAATCAAGGAGTTTATATGCACATACGCATTACTAATGGACAGACAACAGTGTGGTGAATGCAGGGGGAGCAGGAGTGGGAAGGAGGGTGTCAACCGGGGAAAAAAGAGGGACATCTGTAATACTTTCAACAATAAAGACAAATTTTAAAAACTACTAGGAAAACCATCAATTCTTCATTTGAAACAAAGGCAAAAGATATGCAGAGATAATTTATGAAAAGGAGACTTAAAGATGCCCAAGAAGTGAGTTCATTAATAATAAAAATGTTCAGATTTGAACAATAAATACATATGTCCGTATATGGCCAAAATTAAAAACTGGGAGGGAATATGCCAAAATATTTACAGTGATTATCTCTGAGTAATCAGAATGCTGGTGACTTCTGATTTCTGATTTTTATTAATTTCTCTGTATTTTCTGAATATGCTAGAATAAACACACATAACTTGTTTGGGCGTGGCGGGGGAGGTGACCATGGGCAGCCAGGGCAACATGGAAGCGGCCCATGTGGCTCGCAGTGTAACCGCCAGCACAAAAACATCAGGCTCGATGGCACAGAGACAAGAGTGGCGATCAGGCTGGACTGGTTACGAGAGACGGCGGCTTAGTCTGGAGGCAACATGAGGTGGAAGGGCAGGGCCACTTGGGCAACAGCTGAGGCTGTCTTCCAGCAGGTCATCAGCATGTGATATGGGTCACATAATCACACTTTTTGATCCAAATGGTATGATCAACAGTTTTGAAAAAGCAGTTACAGATTTACAAGCAGGATGCACGGACAACGATGGTTTATTAACTAAATATGTTTTTTTTTCTCTAGATACTGGGAAGAAATTCTTTACACCTCCTCTCTCAATATACTACACATCCCAAAATGGAGCCTCCCTTTGTTCAAGTCCCACAGGGCACATACAATCTGGGCCATGGCTGCTTCTATCAACTTGAAGGAGAAACAAGATGCAGACACACTGCTCTGTTTCATCTGTTTCTGAGTCCCTAAGATCAAGTCGCTTTTCCTTTTCTATCCACCTGGTAGCATTTCTGATTGTACATAAAGTGGAACTTTTTCCCTGCAGGACTGGCTAAGGGGAGAGACTCTCAAACTCCCTTTGACATTGAAATTAGTCGTGTTTTTCTTTTTTGAATCCCACAGAGGAAATGTTCTCATTCTGTTTCTTCCTTTCCTCCCACTGCATCCTTGACCTGCCGCAGTGTCCACACAGCTTCACTGCTGGCTCTACCCACTCCTCGGGCACTCTGATTCTACGCTTGCAGTCCCAACAAACAGAAATCAGGGAAAGCAGCCTAGTTACCTCTTGAGTTCTGAGGTTGGAGCCCAGTCCTTCGAATCAGGAAAACAAAATTTGGGGATAACTTTGAGCCTCTCTTCGGTGTCTTTAGACTGCTTAAAGCCATGGTCACCCTGAAAAAGATAAAAATGCAGATGACTAATATTCTATGTAAGTGGAGAAATAAAGTAGAAACACAGTCTGGTCTTGGCCAAAGAGGTCTCTGATAAACCTAAGTGGTCATCTCGGCATAGTTCTGTGCTGGTTAACAAAACAGGAAGGCCAAGACTGGAAACCACTGAAGATGCACTGAGAACAAAGTTACTGAGAATAAAAAATCCTATTTTCACATAGAAATGATATTGTGGAGATCCTATAATCTGATGTAAGAGAGATAACTGAACATAGAACATAAACTAAATAAAACTCTATTCTATAATACACTGATAGCAAAAACCTAGTTCTAGACACACTCTGATCAACAAAAATTTTTGTTGTGGTTTTAAAATCCTCACCCGAGGTTTTTTTCATTTATCTTCAGCTAGCGTGGGATGGAGAGAGAGAGAGAAACATGGATGTGAGAGAGACACATCAACTGTTTGCCTCCCACACGACCCCAGCCAGGGCCAGGGACTGAACCACAACTGAGGTATATGCCCTCAACTGGAATCAAACCCACGACTCTTTGGTCCACGGGCCAATGCTCTAACCGCTGAGCCAAACCAGCCAGGGCAACAATCAAAGATGTTTTGAAAAGGCAGATGAATGTTATTCACCAAAAAATGTTAGAATCTACCCCATATATAATCATTTCCCTTAGCATGTAATCTTTGCTACCTAAATACTGGTTTTCAACTTCCTGTAAAATTTCAGCCTGGAAGACCCTTTTGTGCAAGTCTGGTATTGCAGTTAAAGGACAGTCTAAGTTTAGTTAAACCAAAGACATTGAAAAATTAGTATAAAAACAGGCAGATAGCCCTGGCCGGTTACCCTATTGCCTTCATGTAACTAATGCAAATGCTCTATCCTTTAATTTCTAAAGCGAAACATGCAGCTGTCTGGGCCACTTTGATATTAAGTTCTTAAGAAATGGAAAAGCATATTGTTAACTGATTCACAATCATCTTCACTCCAGGTTTCCCACAATAGGATCAAGAGGGGCTAGGTCAGCTCTTTCCCTCCCTAGCTTACAGTGCCTAACACACAAAGATGCTAAGTGATGTGCTTGGAGACGCCCCTGAATCACTGCCAGAGTCAACTGGATCCTTATCTGGTTCTGAGCCCATTAATTCAGGCTGTGTTGAAAACAGGTTCAACCTCAAGATTTCTCTGCAAATATAAGACATCAAAAATAGGGGTGGCCCTGGCCGGTTTGGCTCAGCGGTTAGAGCGTCGGCCTGCGGTCCTGAGAGACCCGGGTTCGGTTCCCGCTAAGGGCACGTACTTCGGTTGCAGTTTGTCCCCGGCCCTGGTTGGTCGTGCGGGTGGCAGCCACTCGATGTGTCCCTTCACGTCGATGTTTCTCCCTCTCTCTCCCTCCCACTCTATCTGTACAAAAAATGGAAAAAAAAGAAAAAAGAAAAAAAAAAAAAAAAAAAAAAAAATAGGGGTGGGGGGAGGAATGAAGCTCCTCTTTATGGAAAATTTGTTTAGTCAAAACCATCTAGATCACATTATTTTAGACTCTAATGATAACTGTGTTACTAAGCAGGGCCATGACACCATGATCTCAGACTACCCTGAAGAATTTTATGAAAATGTAAACTTATTGATTTATTTATATAATAGAGATATTGTTGAGGATTTTTAAAAAATGAGAATCTGCCCTGGCCGGTTTGTCTCAGTGGTTAGAGTGTCCGCCCATGGACCAGAGAGACCCAGGTTCAGTTCCCATTAAGAGCACGTACCTTGGCTGCAGTTTGTCCTCGGCCCTGGTTGGGGTTATGTGTGTGGCAACCACTCAATGTGTCTCTCTCACATCGATGTTTCTCTCTCTCTCTCTCCCGTTCTATCTGAAGATAAATGCAAAAATAAATAAATAAATAAATAAATAAATAAATAATGAGAATCCATAGAGGAAATGTCTCTCTCTCTTTTTAAAAAAATATTATTTTCTTATTAATTTTTAGAGAGAGAGGAAAGGAGAAGGAGAGATAGAAACATCTCATGCCTCAACCCAGGCATGTGCCCTGACTGGGACTCAAACTGGCAACCTCTTGGTGCATGGGTCTATGCTCAACCGCTGAGCCACACCAGCTGGACATGAAATTCTCTTAGATTCCAGTACAGTTGTTCTTCACTAGCTTTTTAGTGAAACACGTAATTCAAGGTTATAAACCCAAAGCCCTAATGGGGTTGAGTAGATGACTTAAATGAGAGAAGGGCTCCAAGGAGTAAGTTGGAGAGTGAGCAAATGCCCCTATTTAATGGAATCACTCCTCACCAGGGCCAGCTACATGATCTGCAGAGCACAACGCAAGATGAACTGGGGGCCCCTTATTCAAAAAGTAAGAAAAATTAAACATAAAGGAAAATATAAGACTTTTTCTTCTGTGGTCTTTCACCCTGTGATGGGGTTTTATTTGCTATTTAATGACATGCTCCCTAGGCACAAGGATCCTAGGGTCAAGAGCAGACCCTCACAACCCTCACAGATGCCCAGGGGTCCTGGCTTGCAATCTGGTACACAAGTGACCCACCAGTTGCTGGGTTTCCAGATGCAGAACTGAAACTGTGTCCCGACTAGAGGTGAGGACGTTAAGCCAGGCATCTCCCCTTCTCACAGGCCCTCTGCTCCAACCCACAGCAGCTGGGCAACCCCCAAGGCAGTGTAGCCTCCACACGGGGATATGCTTGGTACTTGAAATGGGAGTGTGGAAGTTCTTGCTCCACCAAGGCACCCACTGAACACGAGTGGCACTGCCAGCCCAAGGCAGGGAGGGTCTCATTGTGCATTACCTAAAGATGCGGCAGGACAATGCTTGCCTGATCCTGACCCTCTCCATGCCTATGCCCAAGCCCTTGCCAAGGACAGTGGCAGTAATCACTGAGCAGGGGTACAAGGGGGGAAGTCAGAAAGGGACCAGGAAACCAAGGGGCAGGGGAAAAAACAAGTACAGAACCATCCTGGGGAGGTGGCAAGAGGTAAGACCACGCATGAACCAAGGATTTAAGACCTAGACCTTGTCCCATCAGACCTCACTTACAAAACACAAATTCAAAGACAAAATTATTAAGAATTACAGTGGTGCCCTGGCCAGTTTGGCTCAGCGGTTAGAGTGTTGCCCCATGGACCAGAGAGTCCTGGGTTCGGTTTCCGCTAAGGGCATGTACCTCAGTTGCAGTTTGTCCCCGGCCCTGGTTGGGGTTGTGTGGGTGGCAGCCACTCGATGTGTCTCTCTCATGTGATGTTTCTCTCTCTCTTCCTCCGTCTCTCCCTCCCGCTCTATCTGAAGATAAATGCAAAAATGTCCTTGGGTGAGGATAAAAATAAAAAAAAAGAATTGCAGTGGTAACCGCAGAGCATTAAATTCCCAGTACAGGGCCCTTCTGAGTGAGGGCACTGACTGGCCTGGTCACATGCCCATGAAGTCAGTCCTGCTTACTCAGCTTCGGCCAATTCCTGCCACTTAGGAATGTAGGCTGAGTGCTGGTAGGCATTCCAGTTTCTCAGGAAAAAGCAGAAATTCATATTTTTATGTGAAATCTGATTTTTAAATATTGGCAAGAAGTAATTTATTGTTATTGTTTTTACAAAAACGCCACAAATAAGATGTCTCAATTTGCTCTGAGGCCACCAGTTTGCAAGCCCTGATGCAATGATCATGCTTCTTTTTGTATTTGCTGCTACAAAGCTCAGAGCCAAATTTGGGGTCTATGTTATAAGCCCTGTGAGGGCAGGGACCAAGAAGATCTTTATCATTTGTATTCCTAGCACCTAATATTGGCAAATAAGACATAGTTAAGAAATATTTGATGATATAAATGAATGATCATGTTTTGAAAAAAGCAGAGCAAACCAAATAATATTGTTAATAATAGCTACCAGTTATCAAGTGCTTACTATGTACCAGGAATTAAGCTTTACATACATTATGTCATTAATCCCACTAATACTGGCTAACGTTATATAGTGCTCACTATATTCTGGACACTGTTCTAAGGGGCCTTATACAGCTCATTTAGTCCTCACTACAATTCACAGAGCTAATGTGGCAAATGCAGATAGTTGGCTTAGAATCCATGCTCTAAACCACTACCCTGTTCTGCCACATTTATGATTCCCTTCATTAAGGATAAGAAAATTGAGGCTTTGTAATTTGCTAAAGATCACTTAGTAAACAGCAGAGCAAAAGAAGAAAAAACATACATGGATAATGAGCTCTCCCCCGCTTGAGGTGGCAGCTCATGCCTGACATAAGACGTCATCAGAGTCAGTCACCGGATCCTATAAAAAGTACAATACTACTAACAGCCGACTGAGACAATAACCAAGAAGAGAGGAAATTATTAAATACACGCAGAGACACAGGAACATTCCCGAAAGCCTGCTTGCACCGACCTTGTTAGGGAACTGCTGAATGACCTGGGGAACGTAGCTCACGCCTGATGGTTTCTTCTGTAGAGACACTACCACAAAGAGTTCAAACAGCTGCTGCTCCTGTAATTCAATGAGATCGCGCTCTAAGGTCTGGTAGTGGGGATTCCTCTTAGAAGACTGCTGCAGTTGTGCTAAGCGCTTGTGGCGATCTGAAAGACATCATGGAGCCTTGTTTTTCCTTGGAAGCCCTAGTTTCCCTCTAGAACCCAGAGACTGCAACCCATACGGGACTAACATTCACTCAGTTGCTGCCGAATGAATACTGATGAACTGATGTCAGCTACACTGACATACCTGTTAGGGCTGTGATATGTTTGAGGGTCAAGCACAGATTCTCACAAGTACCTGGGGGATCTTTGTTGGGACTGATGTTCCATGTCCCAACCAATACTCTATGTCCCAACACATACACTATGCTATCCCATCTTTCACGGCATAATACCGGGACACTCGGAACATGTTAGGCAAAAGCACTGGCCTAACAAAAGATGTCACTGTTGAGACCATGAAATGATGGTGGGTAGGGAGGAGGAAGAGCTGATAAAAGAACTGAGTCCTACAGAGGGTAAGTACACCAAGGAACAAGTTTGATAAAATTAAAACAAAAATTCTCTTCACAAGAAAGAAACTGTCCTTTTCCCTTCTCTCCTTGGCACATAATTCTAATAATAGATAAGTGCTTATATCAATATATGATGCTAAATGCAAGAGAAAAAAATTGAAGCTGGAGATATTCATTAGCAGACTATTTCTCAAAAGAATAAAATTTTGGAAACATACTATTTAAACAGTATAAGCAATGTCATTCAAAACTGGAAGCATTTATCCTTTACTCTCATCTATCTCTAATTCTGAACAGTGTGGGGTGGTCTCCCCCTGAGGGAAAGCAGTACTCACAGAGGAAACAGTCCAAGCGGCTCGGGGAGTTGCCTATGCGTCATTCTGTGCCAATGACGGAAAAGACTCATCCTCTGACTGTTTTGCTTTTTTTGGAAATATGATGCATTCCACCCCCAAAAGAATTACACTATGGATCAAAATACAGCTAGGAGTGGCTCTCCAGAATTATCCAGTACATTTAGTGCTCTATTAAAAGTTTTACTTATCCCAAAGGGCTCATTTTAAGTCAAGAAAATTTTAGGTCCTGTTTCTCAGTATCAACAACACTAAATTAGTCATTTGTACAATATCCAGGCTGAGCCTGATGCCGATGGAAGTTTTACCTTTAGTCAGGCCACAGACTTAAACACCTGAAGCATCCAGGCCTGTGGAGGGAGCGCCTGACTGTTAATCACAAGATCAGAGTATCAGACTCGGAACTGCCCTGCACCCAGCTTCGACTATTCACGTCTCCTACTTCTTCTAGGCCTCGTACGACAGTCAAACAGGAAGTAAAAAAACTTGCTGTGAAAAATCCATCAGGCCCTGGCCGGTTTGGCTCAGCGGTTAGAGCGTCGGCCTGCAGTCCCGAGAGACCCGGGTTCGGTTCCCGCTAAGGGCATGTACCTCGGTTGCAGTTTGTCCCCGGCCCTGGTCGGTTGTGCGGGTGGCAGCCACTCGATGTGTCCCTTTCACATCGATGTTTCTCTCTCTCTTCCTCTCTCCCCCTCCCACTCTACCTGAACAAAAAATAGAAAAATGTCCTCAGGTGAGGATAAAAAAAAAAAAATCCATCAGATGAAGGATATGGAGCACTATGAAGTATTTGAACAAATATAGCAAAAAGTGAAGGGCATAGTCTATATTCTAACAGCAAATGGCACAGTAATTTGGATTATATGTGCCTATGAATAAGAAACAGATCAATGTTTTCTGTCTCAATGTCAGAGATATCAAAGTTACTTAATTACAATCAAATGACTATGAAAAATCAGATATTTAATGCCAAGTATTTGTCTCAGACGATGATTCACACATACCCTACTTTGACTGCTGGGAAATTTCTGCACATTTGTCTGAACATGCAGCTCTGCCACTCCTGTAAGAACATTCCATCTTAAGAACCCTATGGGTTTGCCTCACTCCACCAGGGCAGATGTTAATGCTGTCAAACATCTGACAGTGTGCTGCTTAGTTCCTCAAACCTCAACAAGTTCTTATAATGAAGAGATCACCTACAAAATGGAACTTCATGTGGGAAAACATGCTTAATCACAAAGGCAGGTGCCACCCCACCTATAACCGTGATCATCACGAGAAAGGGAGCAGCCCATTGACTCACTCACTCTTTGGCAGATACTCGGCATCACTTTCGTTCCCACTGGTTTCACCTGAAAAGAAAGAAGTAGTTTCCATTTGTATCATCCAATAGTAGGAAGTACATGAGGAGGAGAACAATATGAAACCTCCACAGACCTGGGGACTTGGAGAAAGGAATGCTGAGCCTGTCTCCAACTACTTAGTTATATCAGGGTAGGACAGTCACAAGAGAAGAAACTACTCTATTCCATCTTCTTCTCACACCCTCTCTCTCCCCTCAGCTCCACTCTCCTCCCTAATTCTAGAAATTAACAGTTCAGACAAGTTGTCAGAAGTCTAGTTCAGAGTGGTTTCTATTTCTACATTCATATCCTTATCTTTAAATTCTCGAATAAGGTATTGAAGGTGAAATACCAACCTGATTAAACAAAAATCTCAACACAGAACTATGAATTTAGAATACTGGAAAAGTGCTGGGTTAAGAGGGATTACCAAATAAGTTTATGAAGTGACAGTCTAACTCTTTTGTGATACCTCTAAGCTATCCCTAGGCTAAACTGAACTCTTTTACTCAGAGTTCCTAGAGTATCAAACTGCTTTAAACTGCTCTTGTTTTTTCCAAAACAGATTTTAAGTTTTCTTAGAATAAGGGGCCATGCTTTTTTTTTTTATAAGAGTGTTTTACAAGTGAGCAAAAAATTTCTAGATTAAGTCTAAGTTAAAACAAAATGGAAAAAAAAATGTAAAGAAAGGGAAAAATTTAAATGTATCAAGAAAAACAAGGCCTAGGAGTCATAAATAAAAAAATATTTATGTATAGCCCTGGCTGGTGTGGCTCAGTGGATAGAGCGCTGACCCAAGTACCAAAGGGTAACGAGTTCAATTCTCGGTCAAGATCACGTACCTGGGTTGCAGGATCCATCCCCAGCCCCAGTCGGGGTGCATGCGGGAGGCAACTGATGGATGTGTGTCTCTCACATCAATGTTTCTCCCCCTCCCTTCTTCCCTCCTACTCTCTCTAAAAATCAATGGAAAAATATCCTCAGGTAAGGATTAACAACAACAACAATAATATATGTGTGTGTGTGTGTATATATATATGTACACACATATACGTTTGATTATATAAAAAAATAAAATTTCTATAGAATAAAAACATCATTAGTAATTTAAAAAGTGAACAATAAACTGGGAAAAACTGTGCAATACACACTGCAGACATAGGCTAAGTTTCAAAATATTCAAATAGCTGTTACAAATAAGAAAAAATATATCACAACAGAAAAATGAATAAAGGGTAGAAATGGACAATCCACAGAAAAAGATTTCTTTTTCTTTTTATCCTCACCCGAGGACATTTTTGCATTCATCCTCAGATAGAGCAAGAGAGAGAGAGGGAGGAAGAGAGACAGAGAAAGATGGATGTGAGAGAGACACATCGACTGGCTGCCACCCACACGACCTCAACCGGGGCCGGGGACAAACTGCAACCAAGGTATGTGCCCTTAGCAGGAACCGAACCCGGGCCTCTCTGGTCCGGAGGCCAACACTCTAACCACTGAGCCAAACCGGCCAGCGTGGAAAAGATTTATAACTGCTGATAAACATCATACTTGCCCAAATTCATAATTTAAAAATTTTAAATTAAAAGTGAATAAGATGAAAATTTCAACCATGATAGTGGCAACAAAACAACAACAAAAAGCATTAATAAAACACAATGTTAGTCAAGATTATAAGGAGTTATTCTCAAATGCAGAAATATAAACTATTAAAATCTGTGGGACTTGGCAGCAGCTATAAAATTTTTAAATTTTTAAAAAATGTTTTATTGACTTTTTTTTTTTTTTAGAGAGAAAGGAAGGAAGAAGGAGAGATAGAAACATCGCTGACAGATCGATTGGCTGCCTCCTTGCATGCCCCCTACTGGGGATCGAGCCCAAAACCCAGGCACATGCCCTGACTGGGAATTGAACCAGCAACCTCTTGGTCCATGGGTTGATGATCAACCACTAAGTCACACAGGCTGGGCAAACTATAATTTTTTTTTTATCTTCACTCGAGGACATTTTTGCATCTATCCTTAGACAGAATGGGAGGGAGAGAGGGAGGGAAAAAGAGAGGAAGAGAGAGAGAAACATCGACATGAGAGAGACACATTGACTGGTTGCCACCTGCACGACCCCAACCGGGGCTGGGGACAAAGTGAAACCGAGGTACGTGCCCTTAGCGGGAACCGATCCCAGGTCTATCTGGTCCACGGGCCAATACTCTAACCACTGAGCCAAATTGGCGAGGGCAAATTTTTTAATGCATGTATTCTTTTTGTTTGTTTGTTAATCCTTACCCGAGGATATTTTCCACTGATTTTTTTTTTTTTTTTTTGAAAGAGAGTGGAAGGAGGGGGCAGAGAGGGAAAGGGAGAAAACAAGAAACCTTGATGTGAGAGAAATACATCAATCAGTTGCCTCCCTCATGCACGCTGATGGGGTCTGGGGATTGAACCTGCAACCCAGGTACGTGCCCTTGAGTAGGGATTGAACCCAAGAGCCTTAAGGGGTGGGGTGGGGCTGGTGCTCTGACCACTGAGCACACAGGCCAGGACTGCATGTATTCTTTAATTAAGTCCACTGCTAGAAACTTATTATACAGATTTAATCTTTTTTTTTTTTTTTTTAATTCTCACCCGAGGACATTTTTCCATTTTTTATTCAGATAGAGTGGGAGGGAGAGAGAGAGAAACACTGACATGAAAGGGACACACTGAGTGGCTGCCAACCGCACAACCCAACCAGGGCCGGGGACAAACTGCAACTGAAGTACATGCCCTTAGCGGGAACCGAATCCGGGACTCTCTGGACCGCAGGCCGACGCTCTAATTGCTGAGCCAAACCGGCCAGGGCTACAGATTTAATCTTAGCATTATACAAAAATATAAGCAAAAAGATGCATATTGCGGCAAAAAAAATACACATACACAACTTAAAATATCCACAGGCTAAATAAAATTTTATAAACAACCAAAATGTCTACCAGCTAAATAAAATTCTTTTATATCTCTACAAAGAAATACAGTACAGCTCTGTGGATCTGTATGTGTTGCTATTGAATAAGCTCCAAAATACATCAGTTATGTTTTTTTCTTAAAAAAGAAAAGCAAGACATACAAAGTCTGAATGGTATAAAACTATTTGGGTAGAAAAAAATATTTACATGTGCATAAAATGTTCTGGAAGTAGTAGGAGGTGGTTTGGGGAACTCTGGCTTTTCATTTTATTGTATTCTATATTATTATACCTTCTTGCTGTACTCATTTAAATTTTATAATAAGGAATAAGAGAACATTAAGAAAAATACTGCCTATTCATAAGATATATGGGAAAGGTACATAAGAGATGTTCCTGAAAAAGTAGCTATTTTAATATTGTGTACCACTTATGTTTGTAACTTCAAATTAACCACCATGACAAAAAGTACACTGGGACTATAAAACACAAGGGAATAAATGTTGTGAGTTCCTGAGTCCTATTTGTGTCCTTAGCACCAGGCACCTTTGGGGAGCCTATGAAGTGTCTGAAAAGAGAGACAAGAAGGGGAAAAGGGAGGAAAGGTAATATAACTGAAATAGACCTTATAGAAGATCTTTTAAGTGGCTTTAATACATTTACAGCTAAGGGTTTTGATAAATTGCATTCTGAGACACTGGATGAAACTTAAGGGGTTTATAAGCCAAAAGGAAAATCTACACAGAATCTGTAGGGATCAAAAAAGTACTAGGTTGTTCCTTTTTTTATGTGACTTCAACACAGAAAATTGTAATGATGGAACTGAAGAATGGTACTAAATCATTCTGTAACGCCTGATAACTGAAAATTAAGAAATGTTTAGGTTGGAATAGATTCAGTACAGCTTAGCGTGTACTGACAGAGTAGGTAAATATAATCATCTGGTTCTACTAGACATTGTTGATAAACAGACAAAAGCTTAAGGAAGAAAACAAAAATCTGAGAACAGTGACTATGGAGCCAGGCGATCCTCAGACATGAGAGAAATTCCTCTGATCCACTGGAGAAGTTGGTCACAAGACGGGGTAAATGCATGTTTTCTTGAAGCCACATGAAAGAAAAACAATTTTGTAGGGAAGGGTTACAATTTAGAGGCTGCTTTTCTTGTTTGTGTGTGTGCTAGAAGTTGGCAATTAATGCTGTTAAATTTTTTTCTCTTCAATGATACAGTGAAAAAAGAAGTTGGCTCTTCAAAAACTTGTCTTAAAGCCAAATTTACTACAATGTTTCCTTATCCATAATGCATAAAGCATATGAATAAGAGATCAGTATTAACCTACTTAGGGTGCCATGTCTGGAGAGCATAGTTATCAATAGACTGCTCTTAATCTGGGGAAAGGATCATGTTCTTTTAGAATTTGTCTTGGCCCCAGTGTCCTGAGGTACATAATTAGCAACTTACAAGTTATGTCCTTGTCTATAAAACAGTGTTGTGTAGAAAACTAATGATAATATATTTGAAAGGATCCAGCATACTATCTGGCATCAGTTTTCATCTTCTGTATCTAGTTCTGAATTATACAAATTAAAAGACTTTGGCCATATTCTTAGTGAAGATAAGAAAACACATAGAGAAGAGAGAGGTAAATTGCTAAAAATCAAAATTTATGAGAAAAATTGACTGTTGGTGATAGGAAAGAATAAGACTTTGTGGTTCCATGCTCCTTCATTTAAATCAACATTTCCTTCTCTGGCTCAGTTTCTTAGTTTGTAAAATTAGGATAGTCTCTACCTCCTTATGTGGTCATATGTTACACACATGAGATAGAGTATGTAAAGAAACTATTTCTTCACTCAGTAATGTCAGCTATTATTATTAACAATAAGCAAAAGTATTCCTTCTGCAGAAGACTGAAATGTCTTTTATTTTTTAAACTTATCTTTATTGTTGAATGTATTACAGACATTCCTCCTTTCCCCCTATTGACCCCTCCTCCCCACTCCCTCCCCCTTCTGCCCTTCCCCACACTGTTGTCTGTGTCCATTGGTTGTGCATATATGCATATAAGTTCTTTGGTTTATTTCTTCCCACCCCCCACTCCCTTTGAGGTTTGTCAGTCTAACAACCAATTTGTACTTCTTATTCTCTTCACCTTGACTGAAATGTCTTTTAATAATTGCCTTTGAGAATATAAAAACTCACATTTAAAATGGCGACCAGTTAATTTTAATCATCATGGAGTAAGAAGAGTCTTGAATTATAACACCACAAATTTCATTTTCAGAAAGTAATTGTTGGAATGTAGAATAGATTTTCAAGGGAAATTAAAAAATTTCTTTCTTTGGAAGTTGGCAAAAATATGAAATATTCTTTTCTGGTATGACTTGGCCATTGTTTTTCACTTATAAATAGCACAGATAAAAACTGCTAAAAGCTGTATATTCTTTGCAGACAACCATGGTAAGAATCTTGCATAAGTTTTAAAGAAGATTCTAATAATTCACTCTGGATGTTGAAATTTCTTCATTAGGACAATATAAATTTAATCTAGGCATCTGAAGGATAAAACTACAGAACTTATAAGATGACTACAAGTTGAGTACCATATACCTTCAGTCTATCTATACCTAAAAATATTTTTATTTCTCCACTGAAAGAGTCTATACTGATAAATGACTATAAATGAAAATAGGACTACAAAATAATGATGAAATTTGCTTATGAAAAGTAGTCTCATTGGTTTATAACCATTTTTTAATTTATTTACTTATTCACCCAATAGTTATTACTTGGTACAGAACAAAATAAAAGGTGCTGGAGGAAGAATAAGAAATAGTCCCTTGCGTATCACCTCACACCTGTCAGAATGGGCGCCATCAACAAATCATCAAACAAGTGTTGGCGAAGGTGTAGAGAAAAGGGGACTCTAGTGCACTGCTGGTGGGAATGCAGACTGGTGCAGCCACTACAGAAAACAATATGGTGTTACCTCAAAAAAATTAAAAATTGAACTTCCATTTGACCCAGTGATCCCACTTCTAGGAATATACCCTAAGAAGCCTGAAACACCAATCAGAAAGAATATATGTACCCCCATGTTCATAGCAGCACTATTTACAATAGCTAAGATCTGGAAACAGCCCAAATGTCCATCAATAGATGAACAGATAAAAAAGCAGTGGTACATATACACAATGGAGTACTATGCAGCTGTAAGAAAGAAAGATCTCTTATCCTTTGAGATGACATGGAGGGACCTGGAAAGTATTATCCTAAGCGAAACAAGCCAAACAGAGAAAGACAAGTATCATATGATCTCACTTGTTTGTGGAATATAATGAATGTAACAGTCTGAGGAATGGGGTAGTCCCAGAGACGTGGAAGTGGGGTACAGACTGACAATCCCCAGAAGAGGGGGTGGTGGGGGAAAGATAAACTACAGAACTTATATGCATGTGTGCATGAACAATGGACATGGACAACAAAGCTGGGGACAGGGCGGGGAGGGGGGAATCGGGGGGGGGGGAGAAACTTCTGTAACAACAACAAAATAAAAATAAATAATAAGAAAGGGAAGGAAGGAAGGAAGGGAGGGAGGGAGGGAGGGAGGGAGGGAGGGAGGGAGGGAAGGAGGGAGGGAGGGAGGAGTCCCTTGACCTGGCTGGTTTGGATCAGTGGTTAGAGTGTTGACCCTTGAACTGAAGGGTCTCGGGTTCAATTCCGAGTCACGAACACATACCTGGGATGCAGGTTTGATCCCTGGCCCCAGTTGGGGTCGTGTGGGAGGCAACCAGTGGATATGTTCTCTCTCACATTAATGTTTCTCTCTCTCCTCCTCCTCCCTCCCTTCTATTCTATCTAAAAATCAATGGAGCCCTGGCCAGTTTGGCTCAGCCATTGGAGCATCAGCCTATGGCCCAGAGAGACCTGGGTTCGGTTCCCACTAAGGGCATGTACTTCGGTTGCAGTTTGTCCCCAGCCCTGGTTGGGTCGTGTGGGTGGCAGCCACTCGATGTGTCGCTTTCACATCGATGTTTTTTTCTCTCTCTCTCTCCCTCCCACTCTATCTGAACAAAAAATGAAAAATGTCCTCAGGTGAGGATTAAAAAAATAAATAAATAAAATAAAATAAAATAAAAATCAATGGAAAAATATCCTTGGTTGAGGATTAACAAAAAAGAAAAGAAACAGTCCCTTATCCTAAATAACTTTTATATTTAAGTGAGACAGACAAGGAAGTAAACCAGAAATTGTAATTCACATCCAACATTAAGTTATATAATGATTCTCCCCTCATACGCTGACAGCGATGGACAGCTGGAACAATTCTTACCTTTTGAAGGAGGTATGTCTTTTCCAGTGTAAGGGTGTAACTTTACTCTCTTCTTCCCTCTCTTTGATTCAAATATGTCATCTATTCTCAATACAAGCTGAAAAAGATCAGAAAAGTACATGTTAAAACCAACAGCAACAAGTCTGCAGCCTAATGGTATTAATTTGAGATTTTCATTCAAAAAAAGATCCATTTTAGAAATAAAAACTTTTACATTTCTCAATTTTGAATCTAAAATGATCTTTAGTAAGATAATATGTTGCTCGAACACCAAGTCCATATAACACGGGTGGAAGGAGGAACCTTTCCAGAGGAACAGAGCCCAGGCTCCTAGAGAGATTCCTCAGTATCCCATGTCACAACATGCAGAAAATCTGGCTATTGTACTCAATAGGGTGACCAACCCTTACTATCAGACTCAAGTTTTTGCTTGCCCAGAGTAGGAAGTAGAATACTTATTCACTTGGAAGGCAGGGTGGGGTTCAGTTATTTTTGCTCCCAGGAATTTATAGCACAGAGAAGATAATCATGCTTAGAAAGTTTTTGTCAAAGGGAATACTCTATTTCTATGCTACTAGGAGCACTAATATTACAATTTATTTTAGAAACATGTCATAAAGTTAGGAGACTCTCAGATGTGCTCAAGTACAATAACTATGCTCCATTTAATGAACATTTTTTATTAGAATGATTTCTTTGCTGCTGGGAGGTGTGTGTGAAAGGGAGACAGAGAGAGAGAGAGACATACATACAGAGTGGGCTTAAAAAAAAGAGGAAAGAGCTCTGGCTGGTTTGGCTCAGCGGTTAGAGCGTTGGCCCACGGACCAAAGAGTTGTGGGTTCGATTCTGGTCAAGGGCATGTACCTCGGTTGTGGTTTGTCCCTGGCCCTGCTCGGGGTCATGCAGGAGGCAACCAGTCGATGTGTCCCTCTCACATTGATGTTTCTCTCTCTCCTTCTCTCTCCCCCACTCCCTCCCAGTCTATCTGAAGATAAGTAGAAAAATATCCCTGGGTAAGGATTGAAAAAAAAAAAAAAGAGGAAAAAGCCCAGCTGGTGTGACTCAGTGGTTGAGTGTCGACCATGCACCAAGAGGTCGCTGGTTCAATTCCTGGTCAGGGCACATGCCCAGGTTGTGGGCCAAAACCCCAATGGGGACATGCAGGAGGCGGCCAATCGATGTTCTCTCATCGGTGTTTCTATCTATCTCTCCCTCTCCTTTCCTCTCTCTCTAAAATCAATAAAGAAAAAAAATTGTTTTAAAAGAGGAAAGAATTAAAGCTGATCAATAGCTACTTTTTTTTTTTAAATCCTCACCCGAAGATATTTTCCTATTGCTTTCTAGATAGAGTGGAAGGGAAAGAGAGAAAGAGACACATCGATGCGAGAGAAACACATCGATTGGCTGCCTTCCGCTCAACCCCCACAGGGGACGGGGATCAAACCTGTAACCCATGTACGTGCCCCTGACCAGGAATGAACCCAAGACACCCCCCCCCCTTCCCAATCGGCAGGCCAACGCTCCAATCTCTGAGCCAAACCAGCCAGGGCACAACAGCTACTTTTAAAGGGAAGAATTTATTAGTTTTCTCATGTGTGTTTTTCTTTTTCTTAAAATTCCAAGCGTTTTCTTAACTTTTAATCCTGATTTAACATTTAATACTCAGAATTACAATTGTTAGGAACATTATATAAGATGATAACCAACAGAGTTGCTGGAGAAAAACACTCTTGTTTTCTCTTTTGTCCTTGTTTCTCTAGCAATCCTGGCAATCCATAGGCAGTGAATCAGTCTCGTGCAAAAAAAAAAGTAGCATGTGAGAGACATGTGCTTCCAATATGCAGATTATTCCCACATTTCTGGATGAGTTTGTTCTTTTAAAGATCTTTTGTAGCTGCTATTCAAGTGAAAAAATACCAATGTTCTTAAATACTAGCATTATAAAAAACAAATAAATACAATGTAAAAGGTATTATTAAGGGTGATAGGAAAGATATATGACAGTAAACACATATTTTTGGTTACAAATGAACAAAACTTGTATACATATTAATGTGCATTTGAAAAGTATATCCAAACTATACTCAACTATTATAAAGGGAACAATCTATTGTGGAAAGATGAGATAGAGTAATAAAATTTAAATATTGGTTATGATCTAGGAAGAGAAGCCTACTTTTATCTTCTAATTGCAGCAAATACGGCAGAACAGCCTTCCTAAGAAACGACAGAAACCACAATGCTGTGCACACTGGACACAGACAACATGACATGTCAGGAAATGTTCTCTAGCAAACACAGGTTTCCACAGCAGGGAAAGAAGGAAAGGGTGGGGAAGAGGCATATGGTCTAGATCAGTGATTTTCAAACTATGAAACCAGTTTCTCTTCCAGGGATAGCTCTAGCCATCAAAGGGGAAATAAATGAAAACGGCTTTCCTGTAAAATGTTGTTCCTAAAGATGCATCAAAGCCAAAATTTGTATTGCAAATGGAACGTCCTAAAATAATTTAATTCAAAGAGGATCACAGGTAGAAATAAGTCTGTTCCTGTCTGACAACCAAGAGTTTATCATCCCTCTCCCCTAACCCTAAAATTCTCAAAAAAAAAAAAAAAAAACACCTTTGGGAAATATTAGAAAAGGAGAAGTTGGATCTTATCACCTATAATCAGAAAGAGAACAAGATTCAAGCACTTAGGGGATCCACAGTCCAGAAAATGGAAGCATGAAGTCTAAAGCACTGCAAATCTCCTGGGGTCTCGTTAAACTCTACAATCCATAATTCCTAAGTATTTGTTAATGCCATTCCAAGAACCACATCTTAAATGCAGATTCTTTTGTGTTTGTGTTCTGCCCCTGGGAACACATGATGAGTTGTTTCTGGGCCATGTGGGAAGCTATTTCATTGTGCCAGCACGATCTATTGAAGGAAGAAAGACTGCTGAAGGCCTGGTAATTCTTTTAACCCTTCCTCACCATCCACAGGAGAATAAACAGCTAAAGATTTTTTTTTTTTTTCACTGAGAGAGATCAGTTCAGTGCTTTTTAGAAACTGTGTCTTTAACTTTTCACATATTAAAGAGGGAAGGGCAGGAAAGAGATCAGAAGAATTAAAGTAATTATAGAACAGAATATTTCCCAAGGAGCCAATCAGTTATTAAACCAAGAAACAGCTGTGACTTCTGTTGAATGTTAAAATCAGGTATAAAAACTGTGCTAAATGAGTGGGATTAAAAAAAGGAGTACTATTTAAATGATCTGATTTTTTTCATTTCTTAACTGTAATCCTGAAAACATTCTGAATTATAGAAGAAGAAAGTAACATAAGGAGTTTTAAAATACTATATTTTCATGTAATATATTAGGTGTTTCTCCTAAAAAAGTGTGTGTATGTGTGTGTGTGTATGTGTGTGTGTATGCATATACATATATTCATCATTTTGGTTTCAATGGCTCTAGTTGAGATAACTACAGACATACTGCCTTTTCTCCCTTGAAAAAGAAGTAATTTATTTAATATAATTGCTGAAAATTTCTATTCCCAAGTAACAGACAAGTTTCTTTTTCCTTCCCCTGAATGGAAATATTTGTTCCAAATTTAATGGCATATACTTTGTAATTACTGAAAATCTGTAACTCATGTACAAAACTGAATTTACTTTAGCAATTATATAAATGAGTGAGAGCACTGAAGCCAGCTTAATAAAATGTACTTGTACATGATATTCTAGTGCTTCCTGGAAACAGGCAGTTGATTGTAATGAGAACTACGGTAGCAGAAGTGAAGTCCTCCATCTGAAGTCAATTTTTCAAATTCATCAATAAACCTTGCCAAAAGCCATTCATGCATTTTTCTGCATGAGCAAAAACCTAAAGCCTAAGGCTGCTTTTCAAATCTTCAAATTCCAGTAGGTCAGTTCTAGCCTATTATTCCTATCTGTCTAAAGTTCACTCTATGAGAATAAATGCATAAATAAGAATCAAAGAAAGAAAGTTCTGGAGTCCTTACTCTTGGAAGATTTTTCCTTTTCCTGTTTGCAACTTCTCCAGCTCGGAAAAGCTTCCATTCAGTTAAAGTGACGGGCAAAGTGGTATCCTTTGTGAACTTTGACCTTAAATAAGCTTGTGAGTTCTTCAGTTCCATAGTCTTCCGGTGAAGGAACTGAGGTTTGGGAGGAAGCTAAAACAGGAGAAGATGCAGTGGTCAGGGTAAGATCACCTAGTTAATACCTGTGTTCTCAAAATCAAAGCTACCCCAGAAAAATAATTTTCTTTCCTTTAAAATCATCTTACTCGAGGATACCGTAATTTATTTTTTATCATTTGTAAAGAAGTTTCTCAAGTTTCTAATTCAAAGTTCTTCTACTACAATGTAATCAAATTTCCAGAAAACCATGGCTCAGAGTCCTCGTGGCTCAGGACAGCCTTTGCTTCCAGGAGTGGTGAAAGCTTCAAGGGCCACACAGGCCTAGGCCACAGGTGGATGTGACTAAAGCTGTGGTAACTAACTAGAGTGAACCAAAAAGTTCATGGCCTGTCCAGAGGTGTTCATATTCAATTTTTTTTGAAGTGCTAAAAAACAAACCACCCCTCCAACCAAATAAAACAAAAGGCTGTGTGCTGCCCCCCAAAACAAAACAAAGAACAAAAAACCACCATTAACAACAAGAAAACTTCACATTTCAGTGCCTCTTAGTTTTGGCTCTAGGTAAACCATTTTAACCTTTTTATAGGGCTTACAAACAAGATTCAATGTTTTCTTATGTGAATTCTCTGGCTATACCTTGGGTGTTTTGAAGGCACTTTTAGTGGGTGGAAGCTTCCATGCGGAAGGGGCTCGCCACATGGGAAAGGATTGCACTGGAATATCTTCATACGGATTTTCTTTGGTGGAATCTTGAAAAATAACAAAAAGTAAGTTTAAACTAACATAACTAAATGAAAACAAAGTGACCAGCTAAGAAAAGAGATAAACCGGTTAAATATGGTTAGCTTTCTATTCAACATTGCTGAAGGGAGGAAGGGAGATCTCAAAACTCAATGGTACTTTAAGCTTGTAAACTACTAAGGTGTCCAACCAAGCTAAAACTTTTCTCAAAATACTGTACTAGAAACACTTACTTCTGAACTGAGCAGTCCACCAAACTAGTTGTACAATCCATTAAATAAAAGAATTTATACAAGGGTTCCCATATTTTAGAGAGAGAAGAAGGGAGAGGGAGAGAGAGATGGAAACATCAATGAGAGAGAACATCAACTGGCCGCCTCCTGCATGCCCCCCACTGAGGATCAGGCCCACAACCTGGGCATGTGCCCTGACCGGGAATCAAACTGGTAACCTCTTGGTGCATGGGTCAATGCTCAACCAGTGAGCCACACCAGCTGGGCAAGGGTTCCCATATTAAAAAGGAAAATCTAGAGCAAGATATGCTTGATTGTAAAAGAAAATACCATCCTATAGTTAAGAGCTCCTCCAAATACATACTCATTCAACTTAATTGCAAAGTTTGTGGACACCTACATAGGATATCTTCATAGATATTGTCCTCAGACTGTGTGTAATAAAGTGCTGAGCCAGAATTTCTTCCAAGTTCTTCATGCATCTTCTGTGTATTTCGATTTCGAAAGTGCTGAATATCTTCAAATTCAAAGGATTTCCTTAAGAAAGGAGATATATGTTCAAGTTGTATCTTTTAAACTCCAGTCTTCTTTAAATTGATATGACAGACAAAAATTGGTAAGTAAAAGACTTGTGTGCAAACTTACAAAGGTGTTTTATCAGATACCTAAGAATGAACTAGGCTAATGCCCTATATGCACCATGAGAAAATTGGAGGCTTTTAGCCAATTTCTATTCATGTTCTTCATTGGGTACCTTTCTCTTTTTTTGTTAATCCTCACCCGAGGATATATTTTTCCATTGACTTTTAGATAGAGTGGATGGAAGGGAGAGAGAGAGAAACATCGATGTGAGGGCTGGGGATCAAACCTGCAACCAAGGTACATGCCCTTGACTGGGAATCAAACCCGAGACTCTTTGGTCCACGGCCGACACTCTTACCGCTGAGCCAAACCAGCCAGGGCTGGGTACTTTTCTTAAATTTAATGAAAAGGGAGGCTAAGGCCAGCAAGCTCTAAAGTAGAAGAATATATTTGCTTCCCTACACATGTTTAAGATAGAAAATGGCAGTTTTCTGATGCTCTTATGTCAGTAGATTGTGTTAGCTATTAGTTAGGCATGCTTCTACTATTTGCTCTTGTATGTATTTTCCCCATGTGTTAATCTATATTCGTATAATCAAATTAGGGGAATGGAAATTGATTTGAAAAGAAAAAAGAAGCTCCAGAGTTCAGAAAGAAAAATACTTACAAATCATTACCTATTAAATAAGAACATACCTTTTAGATCTCCCTCTGATTTTCCCACCATACTTCTTTGGTTCAGGTTCCTGAGAAGTGGCCAAACAAGACTCTGCACAAGAATTATTTTCACAGTATTTTCTATCACAGTTTCTTTCTTTACATGGCGTCACACCAGATTCAGATAAATATCTGAAAGTCCTACGAGGTTTTGGCAAAGGATTTATAGAAGGTCCACATTCTTGTCCCTCAGGTTCAGAGTAAATATTTTCTAAGCTCTTGGTTACTCCATATGAACTCTTCAGAACTCTGAACTTTAGTTCTTTTTCTGAAGAGACACAATGTTCTAGAGCTAAATTTAAGACTTTATCAGGGGGAAGTGCCTCAATTTTCTTCCACAGTATTTGTGAGGTATAGAAATTTCCTGGAGGTAATGAAGTCTCTGGATCCAAAACAACTTCTTTCCAGTTTTCAATTTGTTTGACCCGAGAACATACCCAGTTGGATGCTGATTTATTTTTAAAGAAGTTATCGTCACAGTCACGTTTCTCACTTTCGTCCTCACTTTGGTCGTGGCTTTTGGCATCTTCATTAATATCTAGACTGACATTTTGAGAGTTGATCGCACCCAACTTTTTGCTCTTTCCTGCAGCAACAGGATTCTTCTTAAGAAGATTTTCCTGATGACAGTTATTATATCTCACTCCAAAGTCCTTTCGGTGCCACTTTTCTGGATTAGATATACCATTAGTCCGAACTTCCCACTGAGAAATTTTTTGTTTGATGTTTTTGCAGTGGCTTCTTGACAGTGTCTGAACAGCAGAACGAGAAAAACTAACATCCATGTTCCCAGTTGGGTGCATACCAAAGTGATGAGTTTTACTAAGGTTCCATTACAAGTAACCGTGAAATACTGTTCTTATCCTGTCAGTTAGAATACAAATAATTCCAGTACTTTCCTTTCATCTTTAACTTGAAAATTTCTTAATAAAAAATTTTTGATCATTGATCCTTGTTGAAATGGCCGCAACTTTATTTTGAATAATCCTATTAAAATAAAAATATGTTAATAGTTTTATAATTTTCTAATTTAAACATCACTAAAACATTGTCCGCCTACCTCTAAATAATTCATTTCCATCGAATCTGTAAAAATGTACTTGTCATCGATTAAGTAATTCAACTCCAGAAAGGCATCCTAAAATATTACTTGCAGTATTTCTCAAATTGTCACTTTTTTTTTAAATCTTCACCTGAGAATATTTTTCTATTTATCTTCAGATAGAGCAGGAGGGAGGGGGGGGGAGAGAGAGAGACACATCAACTTGAGACACACATCAACTGGTTGCCTCCCACACGACCCAACCAGGGCGGGGGATGAGCTGCAACCAAGATATGTGCCCTTGATGGAATCGAACCCGAGACTCTGATCCACGGGCTGACGCTCTAACCACTGAACCAAACCGGCCAGGGCTCAAATTGTCAGCTTTAATGTTCTGCCTTATTTAATCTCCTGAAGTTAGGCAGAATCAGGTTTTTTTTAAGAGAATATACATAGTAGTATAAAATATTATTTTATAATAAATCAATTCTTTTTGAAACCTTGTCTTAATGAAAACAAGGACCTAAAGAGTATTATAAAAAGCATGCATATATAGAAATACACCCCAAATAACCAAAGGGTTATGTATATATCCAAAGGATGAACCAGTTAGTCTAGAAACACACTAGTAGCTAATTTCTTCCCCCTGTCCTATTTTGAGATAATATTAGCCCATCACATACCCTTATTTCAACGTTATTATTAGCAGCACAGAATCCCTTACACACTGTACTAAAGAGATGCCAAGGTGCCATTACCTATCTCTTGCTTTAAAATGTAATAACCTATTATGTCACCGACTAAAATTTCCACATCTCTGCCACCACACCCTTGACCCAAATCAGCAAAAATACTTACAGTCATTGTCATATTCCTTCCTTTCACACACAGGCTTCACTCATAGAGGCCCATAAACTGTTTCCTCAAATATAAAATTTGGCAGAGAACTTTTCCTATTAACTGAGTAAAGACCTGATCTCAAGTTTTACTGTATATGGGTTATAAATAGAAACTGATTCAAAACTTCCTGAGGCAGGGGTCATCCTTCCCTGAGCTTTGTCTGTGTGGCCTTGATTAACAGGCAGGAAAATATCCTGGCCCAGCTCTGTCAGTGTAGCTGACCAAAACTGATATACACACAATGCACAAATGAAATGTTTTCTAGGCAGAGCAGGACTTGCATAAGCTTTCATTTCAACTGTTCCTACAGGCTTCTGGAAAACCAGCTTTGCCAGAAAATAAACTTTGATGAGGGTCTGGTGCAAAGAAAATCATTCTTAAAAACCTTAAAATAAACTCACGTGGGTGGGGGAAAAGAAACTCCAAAATATCAAAGCTGTTGTGCAGAACTCTTGATAAAAGATTAATGCATAGAATTTGAAGATCCAATCAGCTCATTATTAAAACTCTGAAAGTCCTTTTCTTGCCTCTGATGTTTACGGATGATTCCTAAGGATCTTAGGGTGTCCTTGAGGCTCAGGTTTTCTTCACTACTGACAAGATGGGAATTCTTCTCGCTCCTGGGAGCCTAGTGAAGGTTCTGGCAGTCCTCGTTAACTTTTTCTTTCCTCTTCCCTTGTTAATGTGTTTTAAGTATGGATGGTTCAAACTGAGAAGAAAAAGATGAAAACTGCTAGGGCTAAACAAACTTAACTTGAAAATTACTGGAAACAAATGGCTTAATTTATGGAATTCATGCGCAGATATAAATGATGTGTACTGATAGTGTTTCAGAGCCACAACCACTAGCTCTCTAATTGTTTCCCGTGCAAAAAAAAAAATCCAACAGGATTTAATTTCCTGAATCTGAATGCTTTCAGGGAAAATTTAAGAGAAAACACTGGCAGAATCAAATTTAGAAACAAATGATTCGCCTTTGTTGAAGTTAGTGCCCCTCAAAGCAGGTGTTACATATCCTTATAACGAACTGCCGATGACTTAAACAGTGTTAATAAACTGGTTACTAAAATAAACAAAATCCAAACTCAGTGAATTTCACTTGTGGGACAATATGACTAACTTTCAGTAAAACAATCTATTCAATTTGCAGATAAGGCTTACTGCTTGGATGCAAAGGCATTTCAGACCCTTTTGGGAACAATGTGTGCTTGGATAAGATGTGTTAACCATCCTAAACAAAAATCACTCTTTGTATTCAAGTTTAAATTCTGTAGAACTGGTTATCACCTTTTTTGAACAGATTTTGATGAAGAGATCTAAAACAAGTTGTCATACAATCATATTCTTAAACATCTAAATAATCTGAGATTTCTTCCTCAATCATGCATTTAGCTCCCAAGAGTATTGTACTATTCACTGCAGATTTATCTTAGGCTCTTAGTTCTTCTTTTGTTCCGGGAAAAGAGAGGGCTTAGGTATAAATGCCTATTTTAAAAATTCCAGTTTCAGGTTTAGTGTTAGAATGTTTACCTGAAGAAAATGAGACCAAAGGGAATTCCAACTACACAGCTACTAAAGAAACATAGCCAAATGGAAAAAGAATCACTATTGGTGTCATAAGGGTGACTTATTTCAGGGAAGAGATAAGATAGAAATCTGGGAAAGACGACCTGCCTCCTTGTGCCCCCTCCAAAAAAACAAAACAAAACAAAAACCCTTTAATTAAAAAAAATTTTTTTTAAAGAATAGGTTATTGCCCTGGCCGGTTTGGCTCAGCGGTTAGAGCGTCAGCCTGCGGTCCACAGAGACCCGGGTTCGGTTCCCACTAAGGGCATGTACCTTGGCTGCAGTTTGTCCCCAGCCCTGGTTGGGTCGTGTGGGTGGCGGCCACTCAATGTGTCCCTTTCACATCGATGTTTCGCTCTCTTCCTCTCTCTCCTTCCCGCTCTGAGTAAAAAATGGAAAAATGTCCTCGGGTGAGGATAAAAAAATATATATATATAAAGAATAGGTTATTGATTCTTAGAGAGAGAGAAACATGGATGTGAGGGCGCAACATCTATTGGCTGCCTCCTGCACGCCCCCTACCGGTGATCGAACCTGCAACCCAGGCACATGTCCATGAATGGGAATCCAACTGGCAACCTCCTGGGGCACACAATGATGCACAACCAACTGAGCCACACTGGCCAGGGCACCTTTGATTTTTCTTAAAGACAGCATAGTAGAAAGAGGGGAAGAGAACCATTATTTATTTATTTATTTATTTATTTTTTATCCTCACCGGAGGACATTTTTCCATTTTTTTGTTCAGGTAGAGTGGGAGGGAGAGAGAGGAACAGAGAGAGATAGAGAGAAACATCGACGTGAAAGGAACACATCGAGTGGCTGCCACCCGCACAACCAGGGCCAGGGACAAACTGCAACCGAGGTATGCGCCCTTAGCGGGAACCGAACCCGGGTCTCTCAGGACCGCAGGCCGACGCTCTAACCGCTGAGCCAAACCGGCCAGGGCCCATTATTTATTTTACGTCTACAATATGCAAGGTCCTTCAACCAATGTTATAATCTTCCCCTCAACCATATGAAGTAGATACTAATCTCTCTGTGCCATATTCTCCATCTGAAAAATGGAGATGAGAGACTTTCTCCATAGTCCAAGGTCCCAACAGCTGGTGGCGCTTGGATTCAGACCTGAATATGACTACTCCAGAGTCATTTGCTTTTCCCACTCAATATACTGTACTGTTCCCCATACAAAGAGCACTGGACTAGAAATCAGAAGTAATAGAGTTTAAGTCATAACCCTACAACCGTGTGACCTTAGGAAAATCACTTAATGTTTTTCAGTTTTTATCATCTGTAAACTGTGATTAATCACTGCTCTCTGGGTATTTCCCTTAATATTTCTTAAATTGCTGATCTGCAGCCAACAAATGTTCTACTCTTTCGTTAATCTAAAATACTTTATTTCATTTTTGTTTTTAAAAGATAATTTTGCTGGATATTGAATTCTAGGTTGATAGTATTTTTCTTTAATTAAGGTTATCATTCCTTTGACTTGTGGTTTGCATCATTTCTAATGAGAAGTTTGCAGCCATTCTTATGTTAGTTCCCCTGTACATAATGTGGCCTTTTTTTCTTTAGCTGCTTTTAGATTTATTCTTTTTTTTTTTAATCCTCACCCAAGGACATTTTTCCATTTTTTGTTCAGATAGAGCGGAAGGGAGAGAGAGAAAGAGAGAGAGAGAAAAACATCGATGTGAAGGGACACATCGAGTGGCTGCCACCCTCACGACCAACCAGGGCCGGGGACAAACTGCAACCGAGGTACGTGCCCTTAGCGGGAACTGAACCCGGGTCTCTCTGTACCGCAGGCCGACGCTTTAACCGCTGAGCCAAACCAGCCAGGGCTAGATTTATTCTTTACTTTTGCTTTATCTTTGCCTAAGTGTGGTTTTATTTATATTTATATTGCTTGAGGTCTGTAGGGCTTCTTAGATTTTGAGTTGATGTTTTATATCAATCACATTTTTAAAGTAAAAAAAATAAAATAAAAATAAATAAAGTAAAAAAATCCAATTTTCCCCCTTGCCCATTCTTTCTCCTCCCCTTCCAGGACTCTAATCACACATATGTTAGACCACTTAATATTATCCTACAGGTTACTCCTGCTTTGTTCATTTTTTTTCCTTTTTTCTTTCTCTGCTTCAATTTAGATAAATTCTATTGACTTGTCTTCAAGTTTACTAATTATTTCTTCTACAGAGCAGAGTCCAATCTGCTTTTAAGCCCATCTAATAATTTAATTTGTTGTTAATCCTCATCCAAGGATATTTTTTTCCATCGATTTTTAGAGAGTGAAAGGGAGGGAGGGAGAGAAACATCTGTATGAGAGAGACACATTGATTGGTTGCCTCCTGCATGTGCCCCGCCCAGTGCTGGGGAACAAACCTGCAACCCCAGTATGTGCCCTTGATCAAACCCATGACCCTTTGTCCGAGGGCTGACAAACCAACCACTGAGCCAAACCGGCCAGGGTGTC